ACTGGAGACGGCACACTAATTCAAGAGCCTAATTAGTATCTGTTTCTCCACCATGACTGAGAAAAATCTCTATTCTCAGAACAGCTCCATAAACACCATGTCAGGTTTGGCCTCAATTTGGTCTGATCTGGTCCAAGGTACTTCCTGTGATCCTGTGATTAGGTATTTTGGTGCTGCAGTTCAGTGAGTCAAATGCCAAGTCTGAGCTTCATGAAAGCAGCTATATATCCAGAGACACTGGTCAGGATAAAATGCACTTTACTCCATGGTAATTTAATTCTGCTGAGAGCCGCTGTCACATAGCATTTCACTTCTACATGGAAAAAAGGGCACAGGAGAAGGTCAATTCCCTAGAAGAGAACTTCTATTGATTAAGATGATTTTCGAAAAAATAACTAGTTTTGTCTGGTCTAGTTTTGTCTAGTCTAGTCTAAATAAAAATACAAGACAAACTACTAGTATATTATTATGTAAACAAATGTATTAATCACAAATAAACGAAAAGTGACTTGTGATTCATGTTTTCAAAGACCAGAACTCAAGTTTGTTTAAGATAAATTTAAGTCTATTCACTTTGGTGACTATAATGCATTGTATAAGAGGGAAATTAAATCAATTCCAAGTTCAAGTTCATTGGATTTTTGCTTATCTTCTTTGTAGACAATGTCAGTGACTCTGCAGAAAATTTGTCAAATCAGTAGCATTCTCTGTCATTTGTAGGTGATGTAGGTCAAAAAAGGTTTTATTTGTCTGTTTTATATACAGACTTTCTGGAAACCTGGATTTGAGTTTTACAGCTGTTAACCATGTTCATAAAAATTAAGAAGTAAAAACATTTTTTCATACCGTAATTTAATATGGATCCTCATGTATTTGACGACAGAATAAATTACTGACAGTATAAATTAATTATATAATTGAACTAAAATACAAAACAAACAATTTCAAGAAACAAACTAGAACAAGGTTAAAGTAGCAAGTTTTGACTTTCTGAAATCAGATCATCTTCTTTTTGCCTTTTATCCTATCATTATTCATAAGATGGTGTTTGCAAACGTTTTTTATTCACTGTGTTTTTGTACAGCATGTCATTTGAAGACAAATCATGAACACTTTGATGATAGATGGCAGAAGCTAATGGATGCAAAAAATCTGTCAGACTTAAGATTTAATCACAGCGTTAATCACTGAGATAAGGTGAACAAAGCAGGTAAACAACCCCAAGGTGCCGAAGTCAACTTATCTAATCTACATCATTCTCAGACAAAATCTTGATTAGAAATGCGCCATTTGGGAAAGCTATAAATATTTGTAAATTAATTTCATACTTTATTTAACCCCACGTGAAAGGGTTGGCTCTGTGTGAAATAATGATAAGAGCTCAGGGGTTCTATTAAGCCTCCGATTCAACCTTATAAATCCACTCACCACTGCAGTAAAATTCTCCCTGACTTGTTTCAAAACACTTGTGACTGCTGCAGCATTGAGACATTTGCCCTTGATGGCTCATGTCCTGTCCAACTTGTCACTCATGAAGGTGATCACCTGAATTTATAGCATGAATTTAGGCATGAGTGGTGTATAGTAAGGCATGGAGGGAATGATAAATAGAGTTAAAGAGTCATATCTAGCAGCTCTGTCTGACATCTGCCATTTAAAGATAAAGAAGAGATGCCCCTGCTTTCTGCAGTCGTCCATGGTCATTGTATGCTTATAATTTTGAAATGCTATTTGCTCCAACAATAAATCCAATACCAGTATTTCTGCATGGGTGTCATTCTTTCTTTTTCCTCACCCTAGGGAATGTTAACATGCTGTGGTAAGCGTAACAAGAAAAAACAAAGTGTCTAAATGTGGGAAGATTTGCATTTTTCACTCATGCTGCCACACAGTTCCTTGTCACAAGAAGATAGGAATCTCACTGTGGGAAATTGGAAGATTTATGTTACTCTCCACAGAAAGGAATCTATCTAACATGGCAGTTTAATCCTCTCAGAAAAATCCCTGAAGATCAAAAGCAAGTATTTCAAAAGTTTCTTTGTGTTGTTGCCATTATGATTTGTGACTACATAATAAAACAGAAACTCTGACAGCTAATTTTTAAAAGATTTTCTCTTCTGGGTTGTAGGATGTGAATGAGTTTTAGCTTATTATTCTTCAAAGCATAAATTTTTATAATCCTTAACCAAAACAATAACTTAAATTTCACTTGTGTGTCATTGTACATTTTCAAATTAAATGTCAATTTATCCATTTTTTATTTAGGAAGAAATTACAAAAAATTTAAAGTAGACTTTCACATATCTTTGTTTTCTCGGAGTCCACTATAATCTGTCTACACATTTCTTGTTTTAAGAAATAATTATCAAAATTATTTCTATTTATGCAACAGAATTTTTAACAATTTCAAACTGAAGTTAAATGTAACTTCAGTTACATTTAGGTGAGATGAGAAAGAGCTGTTTCTGTTGAAATGTAAAAAGGCTCAGAGGTTTACATGTTTTACCTTATTGGTAGAGTTGCTTTTTTAACAGCATCATTATTTGTTTAAAAGCCAAATTATGGTTTTTGGCATTATTTGGCTGAAACATAGACCCATTTATTCAAATGTATGCTTCTTGCAAAAAAAGGTAAACATAACAGCAGTCAACATTATTATTATAATTTTGTGTGTTTGTGGTAAGTTGAAGATGAAAAGTACAAACATAAAAATGCAGGTTTTTAACTTTTAAGAGTTGATAAGAATGGACTCATCTAGATGACCATCTTGACATTTCGAAGCAAGTCTGAGAACATCCTGACCGACCGTGTGAAATATAGAGGAGAGATTTTTGCACTGCCAGGTCGATGTTGATAAAAAGATAATGAGGCTGATAATACTACTTAAAAATAATAATATTAGTGTCATGGATTGGTCATCCATTACTCTGGTTCTGTCAGGCGGAATGGCCCAAAATTTCAGCAAGCTAATTAGAGAAGCTTATGTGAAAGATGTCCAAATAAGGGTTAGGGGTCTTCAGTCAAACTCAGAGGAAAGTAATATAAATGCCTTAAATCGCATGAGTTTTTGAGGCAGTTGTGAAGAAAATCCTCCAAGGTGTATCATTAAATTCTGCTAATTAAAAAAAAGGCTTCAGCTAAGCTTGAATAGAGTCCAACACGACCTACATCTCAGCCCTTGTAATACACGCACATGCACGCACACACCCAGTCACACACACGTACATGTAGTGATTGCGATTTCAGAAACTTCTTCTATGATCTCAAACTTGAGACTTGTGGGTTTTATTTTAATGAGCACTCCAAAGCATGAGTATGAATTGGTTTAACATTTCAATGCATATCACATAGGATAGAGTCAATCTTGTAAATCACTTGAAATAATATAGCCAGTGTCTAATATAATATTTAAAATGTTCTTTTAAATATCAGCTGCAATACAACAAAACACTGTCTAAACCTTAAAGCTTTCTGTCTTCCTTGCTATCCGTCCCATGTATTTCAGCTTGTTTGTTTCTAACAACAAAGTTTATGATAATACAGCCAAAGGTTAAAAACATAAGGAATAAAAAAGATGACATTTTCATAGGTATACCAACACTATGATCTGTCTTCTTTGTATAAAAGTACTCTGACACCTCTGCTGTGGACTTCATTAGTCGTAGCAAGCTCCTTACATTTCTTGAATAAATTATTCAAAGAGCAGCTTCTTGGCATAGACAAAATGCCTTATTATGGTTATAATAATGCACTGCTTTTTATACCCACATGGTCATTAAATATGTTTTTTTTATTTTATTATTTCAACACAGAAATCTGAAAGCATTAAACTGATACTTATGAGAAAAACACACACGCACACACTGAAGAATATCTAAAATACATTTCTCCATACTATATCAAAAATATACAGCAATTAAGATTTTTTTATGATTGATGTCTAGCTATTGTTTCTACAAGTTGTGCTGTTTGGTATGGTTACGCAGACAAAGAGAAGGATTCAGATCAATACACCAAAAAAACAAACAAACAAAACAAAAACAAACAAACACACATCAAAACAAACAAAAAAACTAAATGAATTATTTCTATCTCTATCTATGTTATGCACTTTGTTTCTCATGGTACATATTTTACTGAAGATTCAAAACATCTGTTCAGTTCTTTCTTTCCCAGACATTCGGTGCTGCTACCAGTAACTATTTTCTTTTTTCTTCAACTTAAAAAGTAGTCCTGAACCAGCGCCTTTACATTTCTAATAAGATATTTATGACTCATAAAATAGAACTGGTGTCACGCAAAAAAAGTATTTTTTAGGAAAGATAATGTGAAAATTAAACTATGTCAAAAGTGGATGAATAAGATTTATTTAATGTAATTGTTTTCTACATTTCAAATTGAACATTATATCACACGTTTCTGTATAATTTCACATTTCTCTTGACATGGAAAGCCAGATTACACCACCTGGCTTTCCATGCCCTGTTCAGTCAGCTGGAAGAACGCAACAATAACAATTACTTAAGGCAGATTCGACATAGAATGGGTTTTCAATAAGGAAAGCAAACACAAGCGTAATACAAATTATTTATTTTTAGTAAAAAAAAGTAATCCAATTAAAATATGCAACAATTATTTGCATTTGTTGTATATACATTTTTCTGAAATATTGCTCTGAGTATAACGCTTCAGCCGAAAGTGCTGTCGGGTTTAATAAAGTTATGATACTCCCTTCCCAATATGGCGACACGCTGAGTGCAATTTGTGCTAATCGTTGCTAGTTGCTAAATCATTTTGACTATATATGAGATATTTAGATTCTATAAAGTCATTTTTGTGTGACTATTGTTATAGTGTTCCCTTTAGCAAAACTATTTTTCGAGTGGCTTCGAAATGTATCGCCGCGGAGCCGAAAAGAAGGACACCAACAACAAACCTGTAAAGAAGGACGTGAGCGACAGCGATAAATACGCCGACCTCTTGGTTTTTGGTTATGCCTGCAAACTGTTCCGAGACGACGAAAAGGCTCTTTACCACGAGCATGGAAAACATCTAATCCCATGGATGGGGGACAAGAGCATCATGATTGATAGGTCGGTTGAACAAACGTAGACTGAAACATTATGCTAACTGTTTCTGCTATTCGTTAGCCTGTTTCAAATTTCAAGGGACTACTCCAGAGTTCATGTTGCAGAAGCCTGACAAGACCCGAAACAAACGCCGAATGCTTTATTTCTGTCTAACTTATCTTTAGATGTGTTAAACTGAAAAATGCTATTTGTAGTTCATAAGGTAACATGCTAATATGCAAATACCACCAGTGCTTGCTAACCTTAGCCATAACAGAATAATTACACGTCATTCAACATGTTTACTTTGTCAGATAAAACTGCTGTCGAACGAAAATTAAACTATGTCAAAGTGGATAAATAAGAGTTATTTAATGTAATTGTTTTCTACATTTCAAGTTGAACATTATAACACTTTTGTGTATAATTTCACATTTCTCTTGGCATTGTGTTTCAGAATTTGTAACACAATGCCATTGTGGATGCATATTTCTTATGTTGGACTAGAATAGAAATGCACCTCTCCAAGATTTTACAGCTGATTACTGATCACCAATTTTCCAAATTTCTGATTAGTTGGTTGTGACCTCAGTTCGCCATTTTATATTGTATATTTCAATATAAAATGTTTGAGAAATAAAGCAGTGATGTTTAGAGCACAAACTATGTTAAAGTTTTCTTTCTCTGCATCACTAAAATCTTCAGATACGGTAAAATCCTACCTATAAATCAAAATGTGGGAAAAAGAATTGCATAAACTAGAATTGATTTCTTTATAGTTTAGATGAAAAAGCTTTGACAATAAAGTCAACTTCTTGTTACATCTGGTCATCAAATTTCCAATTTTCCAGTGATATCAGTGTTGATATCACTGTAGATATTTCATTTGAAACCACTCATATATACTCCAAAAGTCTAACTTTGAGTCTTATTCACAGATTTTTAGTATCTAACTGGCTGATCAGTTAACAGAACCGATCCAGGATAATGTATGACACTCCCGACTACCAGAACCTTTCTTGGTGCATCTCTGTCTAGAACAAATAGGACTAGCCTGGTGAGATTTGCATACTGGCATGTTATATGAATTTCCTCTGGAAACTTCTGATTGCTAAATAAATATCACAATATTCACTCTGTCAAATTGTTTCTTCCCTTTCAACTGCTTTGACTTGATCCAGTTTAGTTTGTTGATGGGCATCATCCCAGAGAATATTCTAACCCATAATAAGTACCTTTGGTCAAAATGATTCAAAACTTTGCATGAACACTGTTTTTTGTTAAATTATGCATCTTGTTGCTATTACTTTGTATTTACTTGAATCATCTTGGTCTGCAGTGGTCCAGCCTTTGTTTCATTTGTACACGATTTGTATGTGTGTCTTTATCACATAACAAAGTTTTTCCCCCAGCAAGTTAGGCTTAGGGGGTCGTTCCAAACCCTGATTGTCAACAACAGCACCCCATTTCTTTGCCTTCATGAAGAAACTACATCAGAGAGATGCCATAGAGGGACCCTGGAATATATCCTCCATTTGGGTTCTTACGGATAGGTATTTATGTGCTCGGGTTTGTGTGAATGTAACTTTCTTTGCAGATTTAGAAGTAATGATGAGTGTTACAGGGGGGATTTGAACCCTGTAAGGTAAGAGGCGAGTTGCTTTGTTTGTCTTCTTTTTCTTTTTTTGTATTTCTTGTTTTTGTTTGAATCTAGGTTTGCTTATAAAACAAAATCTGAAATGTAATCATTCTTAATCTTTGGAATTTTAAGACAAGAATATATGTAGTTAAAAAAAAAATCTGCATCAAAATATCTTGGTAAGTAGGTCTAGGCTTTTGTTTCAAATGTTTATTTATTTAAACTTCTTTCACTCTAATCCTTTTTATCATTCAACAGATATGATGGGCGGGGTCACTTACATGACCTTTCAGAGTATGACAGTGGGTCATGGAATACATCCTACCAGCTGTCAGAGGAAGAGGTCAGGATTGAGGCGCTTTGCGATGAAGAGCGATACCTGGCTCTGCACACCGACCTTCTGGAAGAAGAGGCAAGACAAGGTATGCGAGATGCTTTTTCTGGCATTCAGCTATGAATTCAAATATGCAACATAAAAAAGTTAAATAATTGTTGAGCCTGATTAAGTTTTTACCTTTATGAAAGGAGTGGGGAGAATGGCATCCCTTTTTTTCATTGTTATTACAGCAAAGACTACATTTGTTTTGTTATGATTTGCCTATGTTTGTCAAAAAATTACTCTAGAATACATTAGTAATGTGAACTCTTGCAAGAGAGTTCACACAACATTATACACTTGTCCCTATACATTGCATTATAGAGATGAGTCAGGACTGCGGAGTAGGTTTTATAAAGACAAAATCTGAATCTGGAGCCACCTCCTCCTCTGTTTAGTTTATGTTTTTTTTGGTCTAGGTTTTTTCTGCAGTTGGGTGTAATACAAAGTGTTTTTCTGAGGGTTAAAAACAAAAATTCTGTCATAAGACAGGCACATAAGTGCTTTTAATGCCTATACATACTGTTTATGCATTGAGGTTGGACTTGCATGCAGATTCCCACAGCCAACTTTGATGCTGTATCCCATCCATCTTAAATTAATTGTGACCAGCTTCTTAGGAACATTGCAAAGTCAAAGATTTACATAAACAGTTCTCTACAGTTAGAAGAAAAAACAGGATGTGTCAACCTGAATAATTTACAACAAACCCTAGCTTTTGCATTTACTTGTGCTAGGATGTCATTTTGTATGGAGAAAGGGAAATAGGCACCAGGCAAGGTTAACAAAATATTTTCCATATTTGAACTTTAAAAGAAAAAAAAAATGAGGAAATTTTTGAAGCCTGTCCATCACTTTGACAAATTGTAATTCACACACCTGATTAGTGTAAATGCGCAGACATTTTCAACTTTATGCACAGAATACATTGTGGATGCAAATAAAATCAATTATTACAAAAATAAAAAAAATCTCTGACCCTGACAAATACATCTTGTTGCCTATTAGCTGAAGAGTTATGGACAGGGTGCTTTGAAGAGCAGCTTGATCACGTTCCAGAACGCATTGAAAACTTTGGCTGAGGTAGTTTGTTAAAGCCTACAGTATATACAGAAAAGGAAAACAAAAAACTAAAGGGATAGCTGGATTTTGTTTATCCATTTTATAGCCTTTAAGGAGAACTAGGTAGCTTATCTTATTGAGGAAAGAAGGAAAGTAAGGATCAAAAATTTATTAGACGCTTAACAAGCCCAGTGCGTTGCACAACTAAATGTGCACACAACTCCCCGCTCATCGTCCCAAAATATTTGCGCTTAATTTGCCCTACGTTTTGCAACATCTTTCAGCTCAATCATTAACCCTTCTGCACTTAGTGTGTCGCTCAGAAGGAGCGCAGATGTCACGGTCAGACAGCGGGGATCCAAAACCACACAAAAACCCTTGTCGGAGCGCTTGCCCAGACCACGCACAGGGTAAAAAGCTTGCAAGTCCAATTGATCCACCTCTTAAGACCAAGAGAGTGAAAAAAAGCTAAAAAACGGGAGAGGTTGCACTTCTTACTCAAATGGTGGATTAAAGCAGTAATATCGTAATTAAAATAATGTGATGGGTTTAATTCAACCTCAGATTTCTACTTAACTGGTGCAGATTTCTGCTGTGAAAGATGTTGTGAGGCTGTGCGTTCAGACCCTAGCAGGTGTTGCTCTCATAATTTAAGTGGATTTGTTTAATTTTATGTAGTATAGTTATTGGGGCCACAGTCAGTGGTTTTTGTCACTGCGGAAAAAACCTAGATGTGTTCATCCGCTGGTTGTGTGATACGATCTGGATTCATGGTTTGACTTGCTGAATATTAGCTATACCGCATAAAAATTAAATCCAACTGAATAGCATATGTCAATATCATTTAAAAATTGATGGGTAAAATTAAAATATGACAGATTTATTCTGACGCTGTCAGTCAAAATGAGGGACAGCATAAAAGTTGAGCATGACCTCTGATGGGCACATGAAGTTAGTTCTGCCAAAAACCATTTTCTATGCACCTTCGTTCTTCTGTGTTTAAAGTGGACCACCTCTGTCTCAGCCTTAATAGCTAATGCTTAAATCCATTTTGACTTTAGGATGTCTAGGACACTTGCATCTCAGATGCTTTACATCATAGTTATACTGATTATTTTGGTGACAAAGTACTTTTTGTAAATGACAGACTTAATGACAGCCATTGAATTAATACATAGGTGTTTTAAGTGAAATATGATGTCCTGTGCCCAAACTGACAGCAAAGAATGAGTCAGCTAATGGTTTGAGTTACGCACACTCCTTGCTGAAGGTTCATTGTGCAGACTGTTCTGCCCTTGAATTTGGAGGCTTGACCCCATTCGCTCTGTCTATTACCCATCTGACCAGTTAAAGGGCAATAGGAGAAGTATTGATAAATGTCATGAATTTTAACAGAAAAGTTTCTCTTTTCAAAGCGCCTCCTCTATGAATGCTTTTGTGAAAAAATAAACACAATTAATGTTATTTTAAAAGTCAGATTTTGTTGGCCACTCTCAAAACAAAACAATTTTTGAGTTTTATTTCTAACATAATGCAAGAACCTTACCTTACTAAAACACTCCACTTCTAAACCAAGAAGCTCTTTTCATCCATCCATCCGTCCGTCCGTACGTACGTCCATCCGTCCGTCCGTCCGTCCGTACGTCCGTACGTACGTACGTATGTACGTACGTATGTATGTATGTATGTTCTTACACCCTTGCCCCTAGTTGGGTTGGGAAGTGCTGGTGCCTGTCTCCAGCTAACGTTCCTGGCGAGAGGCATAGTACACCCTGGAAAGGTCGCCAGTCTGTCGCAGGGCAACACAGAGACAGACTGGACACCTAGGGAAAATTTAGAGAGACCAATTAACCTACCAGTCATGTTTTTGGAGTGTGGGAGGAAGCCCGAGTAGCCGCAGAGAACTCACACATGCACAAGGAGAACATGCAAACTCCATGCAGAAAGACCCCGGGCTGGTATCGAACCCAGGACCTCCTTGCTGCCACTGTGCAGCCCAAGCTGTTTTCAGACCAGTGACAAACAGAACCAGGAGAGAACCCAACAGCAGGTTGCACTCTAGAAGTCTGAACTAAACAACTACAGCTGCAGGGTACAATTTTTATCCTGGGATGTGAGTGAAATCAATATTTGCTTGCAGCTTGCTGAACTGGTCAGATTTAGGCTGCTAATGTAATATAGTCCCAGCTTTATTTTCAGGCAGACTTGATGTTGGCCTTGTGTTTACTTTCTTGTTTTCGTCTGAAATGTGTCTTTGCAAAGAATCCCCTTTTCCCCGCCAGGACTTTTTGTAGTCCATTCTGATCTTATTGCTTTGTTCTGTGAATGAAAACAAAATATCTAAGTGAACAAAAAACTAGTAGTGAAATAAACATGAAGTATTTATTGTTTTTTTTTTTTTGATGCTGCAAATAAGATCATGTCTTACTTTGACTAGCTTTTCTTTAAACTGTGATTCCAGACTTGTCTCTTTAAATAATAAATTTTAGTCATCCACCCATAATTTTGACTTATTTTACCCATTTTTCTTTTAGACTTGCATGTCAGTGTGATAGGAGACACAATGTGCATGTCATATTTATTTGCCCATAAGCAATATTAAAAATAGACATCCTGATGGAGGAAGTATATTTTCACGCTTTGTCTTGACAATTTACATTGTACATTTGGGATGGGTGATATGAACTTAAAATTTATGGCATTATTTTGTGGCATTTATTGCAATAATGATGAAAGTTATGATTAAAATGTATTTAAAACTTTTTCACAGTCATTTTTGGCTACAGGTCTGTCAATGCATACAGTGAGAGCACAATCAACTCAGATTGAATATCTCACTCTGTGAACGGGCTACTTTGGTACACCAATTAAAGTAATGGATGTAGTTGTGCCACCAAGTAGAATACAAATCATATTTTACTGTCAGAAGACGGTTACAATTATGTATCAAATGTGTGACAATAGACATCTTTATAAAAGTTACCTATTGCAATTTTAACCATCAGCAGTTTGCGCTTGTTAAAATATTGATCTTGTAACTTATTGAATATGTTACGAGGTCTCAATTAATCCTCTTTACTTTATGTGAAAAGGCAAATTTTTCTCTATGTTTGTCTCCCTTTTACAGAGGAAGAATACAAACGATTAAGTGAGGCCCTGGCTGACGAAGGCACTTACAATGCAGTGGCCTTCAAGTACAGTGCTGACTACTACGATCCCTCACAGCCCACAGAAGAAGAGGATGCTAACAAGGAACGTGGTGAGAACTGGTCACAGGTCTATTATCCTTAGCATAGATACACCCATCTGCCTTTCACTTCCAGATCAAAGTATTTAATTTCTGTTTTTGTAGAACTATAACTCATGCAAACTACTGTGTAAAAATGTTCATTTTAGAAGATTATCCTCATTTATGCATATGCTCCTAACCTTAATTTTACAGCACAAATTGTATGGCAGAACAAGCTATTAACTATTTGCAGCTATAACACTTGTGATTTTTCATTTTTGGTGCACTTAAAGAACAGGGAGAAAATTTTGATTTTTAACTAATGTGTAGCTCTAATTGAAAGTATAGATGAAAACTATATTGCGGCAATAACATAAAGTACAAAGGTTGTCAGAATCAAAAGAAAGTAAGTGGAACAAGAATATTAAATATCTTTTTCTTTTGTTAATGCTTTTGCTGTGGGAGCTCTTCTGTTTTTTTTTCTTATTCAAGTAAGCTTAAAAGTACAATTAAAATACCAGGTTTGATCAATATTCTGCACTATAAACACTGAAACAAAAACAACTGACAAAAGACATAATGTAGCAGATAAAAATAAGAATTGTCACTAGATTGAGAAATTACTCATGAAGCTCTAACTATTATGTATTTACACAGAATTACAGAGAAAATCAACAGCCATTCCAAGAACATTAGAAAAAGGTTCAGGGTATGGAATTAATTTACCGTATATATAGAACCTTGGTGAAAAATGGGAAGAGCGTTTTCCCAATCATCCCATAATGGGTCACTTTGTAGCTGGAAACAGTAAGTCATTTTGCTCTGATACTTTAGTGTGTTTAATGATGATAATAAAGAGAAGAGGTGCAGAGCTGTTCTTTATAGCCAGTGTTTGGTAATGACTTTCTTAGTTGCTGCCAGCATAACCTTTAAAAGCAGTGCATCATCCTTACTTATATCTTCAGAGGTATGCAGAAGATATATTATATAAGCATATTGGAATGCAATATTACAGAAGAACCTGTGATTGCTGCATCGACTGAGGCTACATCCATTATGAAGGGCTAGAGCAGGGGTGTCAAACTTCAGTCCTCGAGGGCCGGTGTCCTGCAACTTTTAGATGTGCCTCTGCTGCACCACACCTGAATAGAATAATTAGGTCATTAGCAAGGCTCTGGAGAACTTATCTACACAAGGAGGAGGTAATTAAACCATTTCATTCCTGTGTTTTGTACCTGTGGCACATCAAAAAACTGCAGAAAAGTGGCCCTCGAGGACTGGAGTTTGACACCCCTGGGCGAGAGTTTAGGACAGATTCCATTAGATGTGGGGGTGATCAATCATTGGCTGCTTAAATCCTACAGCATTACATCCTTTTTGTTTTTCATTTCTTTTTTTTTTTCATGACCTCTTACTGCTTCAGTCAGCTTTACTTCCCCAATCACAATTTAGCTTCTTATGCCTGGATTTTGCAAGATATGGCAGCTTTCTGTTAAGAAACCTGAATGCTTTTGAGTATAATGTTGTAAAAGGTTTCCTTTATAAGGTAAGAGCCCAACCATGTAGCACTAAATAAATAAACAATAAATCTTATAATCTATTTCGTAATAAGCATAAAAATAAAGTAGAATTTTCTTTTGAGCCATCTGACTGACTCTGGGAAAAAAAAAAGTTCACATGTCCAATTAAATTAAGAAGATTTAATAGAAACAAGCTGATGGCGGGAAAATTAATATGCCTTTAAAATAATGTGCACCACAAGGCCTAAAAATTGAAATTGAACTTCACAAAGTTTTGGGAAAAAAATTAGTCTCTGGTGCACTCATCTAATTTACATATTTGATGTAGTGGCTGCTAGAGGCATTTCCAATAGGCTGAAAGGTAAGCAGTGATGCTTTATATTCTCTTCGAGGAACATTTGTTGAACAGTGGTATTAAAAGGTCTGCTGAAAATGCCAATATTTGAATTTGCCTTTTGGGAAAAGGCCTGTGTGGTTCAGGTGGCTGAGTTGAAGCACATCAGTGACATTATCAAAAATGCTGATTTATTAAAATAAGCACAGGCCCTTCCCACAACAGTACCCTCAAAAAAGTAGTTGACAGAAACAGATGCAGATAATGATATTATAAATAAGATCATTAGCCCTATTTTATGTCCCTGAGTGAAAGCCAAACACGCCAGAAGGTTTTCGATGTAATTTATATGCTCTCTGTCAAAATACAACTAATGGGTTACTGCAGGCATCGCTGAACAATCTTACTCCATTACTTGGCAGTCATTTCATAACACTCTACTTGATTTAATTTTCTTTAAAAATTAAGATCTTTATTGGATGATTTGCTTTAAATCTGTTTGCTATGTTTGTACTGTCTTAGTTGAGTAGACTTCCCTCTTCAATAGAAGTATGGCAGATTTACAAACACAACAAAACCATAATGATCTCACTTAATTTTTTGGCATAACATATTTCGTATTGATTTTCATATTCATTAAATTTGATCAGATGTGATCTGAGACGGAATGACTAGCAGTCAGCCTTGTGAAAAGCTCATTTAAAGATCGTACCCATTGGGTCATTACACGTGTCCAGGCATATAAAATCCCTTGATCTGGCAGAATGTTTGAGTTTTTTTTTACAGCTCATTGTGGCTTTGTATTAAATTAAAGAGCCCCTTTATCATTCTGCAAAATCCCTGCAGTACTACATGAAAAATTTAATCTCGTCTCTGTCTGACCTCTATGTTGTTATCAAGATGAAGGTGAAGGCTAGGGTGGTATTTCACTGTGATATATTCCTGAAGTGAAGAGAATGATGGAAGAAATGTCTTATTCTGTTTTTAGATTTTTCTGAAATTCTGTGTTCCCTTTTTTCTTGTTCAAACCTTGTTGAAATCTTGTATCAGATTTTTATTTTGTTTCAATGGATAAATAAGAAGGATTCTCAATGTTTTTGTTCCATTCTCCTTTCGCACACACAGAGGAAGCAGAGCCTGAGGAAAGTGAAGAGCCATTTGTTGCCCCCCCAGGACTTGTTATCCCACCAGATGTGGAGCTGGTGAGTGCAAATATATCTGCTGCCGAGAGGCTGGTGTGGCCTATTGTAGCTATATATACACATATACAAAGTATTTCTGAAGGCTCTATGTTTCTTTTAATGTGAGGTGCTATAACATACAAAATTCTTGCTTTACTGTGTTCTTTTGTTATTATATGAATGTTTCTGAATTGAATGTTTCTAATTGAAGTGAATTGAAAATGAACTAGAAACCACTTGGGATTTAAAAAATAGAATACATTTACCTTTAGAGTGAAAGCAGAATAATTTTGAATGGTGACAGTTTATTTAAAATCCATTTTACATGCACATTTCTATGGTTTGGAGTCCATGACTTTTTAAATATGACTGCTATGAAACAACCAGAGAATAATGCTGTATTCATCTGATTTCACTGTTTCTGTGCTACATTAATAATTCGGACCTTGCAGTGGAAAGACCTACAATAAACCTGCCTTGGTAGATTTAAAGTTGAAGGATCAGAAAAATTCAAAAATCCATGGTCAAAACAATGTCAATGGTGGATAGAGGCCAGAGTGAATCGACTGAAAGGGAACAAAAATGGCCAATCTGTCTTTTTGTAAATCATTGTAAGAAAGAAAAAAATAACAACAAACTATTTTAGTCCGTTACAGTTTTTGTTTCAGCACTATTTTAAAAACATCTTATAGCCTTCCTGCAATCAGTGGTTATTAATTAATAATATTTGGAGATTGTTTCAGTGTCAAAAGTGTCACACCTTGTGTGTGAGTGAACAGTCAAAGTAAATTGTCTTTTGCTGTTATTTTGTGTCAAATTGAAAATGATGATAGCCTTAACATTTTAAACTGGCTGAAGGATTTTATATTACTGATTAAATAACTCACTTTAAACATTGATCACTCAGTTATATGGTCCATACCAAGAATGTTGTCAACAAGACCTGTTAGCACATCCTGTTTTGTGATCGGAAAAAAAGAAATTGGCCTTTTGATGTTCCGCCTTGTTACAGGTTATCACAGGCTAGGGGAGATCAAGTTGAAAGTCATCCAATTTTTACCATTTGCAATTTTATGATGCAGCTCTAGCTTGTCCATAAAATGTATGGCCTATATCTTGCTGAGATTGTATATAGCCTATTTTAACTGGCAGAAAAAAATAAATACATAAACTTCCTAAAATTCAAATATTTGTTGTTTTACATAATTGAAATAATATATTTTTTTTATTATTCTCATAAAAAAAAAAAAAAAAAAAAAAAAAAAAAAAAAAAAAAAACAGAAACAAGACAAGCCTTATTTGTATTTAGTTTTTCCAGCAGATCCTACTGGGAAGGTTGGTGTATGAAATAGGGCATCTGTTGTTAGAAAGACCCGTGCTACATCCTTCCACACATATTATTTCATTGTTGCCTAAAGCAGAATACGACTTCATGTTGACATAACGTCTAAAAAGGAAACAGTTGTACATAAGGCTAAAATATTTAATTTGTTCATTCTATGCGGTGTCTACAAATGGAACCCCAGTGACTCCCACTTTCATATGCATGAGAGGAAAGAAAATAACCTAATTGTTGTCATGGTGTGCATGCATATTCAACAGCCCAATATCCAGTTCAGGCAATAAAGCTTCAGTGAAAATAAATTGCCTTCATACTAGTCTTTCTAATTGCATTTCACTGGTACACATTTCTCAGAGTGAATGTTATAAACAAAACTTTCTTTAAACATGTTACATTCAATACCTTGACTGAAACCATATGCAACACCACATACAAAGTATTATTTTAGTGATTTCAGATTTATTTTTGTGAAATATAATAAAGTTGCCTCCTAATTTCTGTTACTTAGCAAGACCTAATATTTTCATCTGTAACATTTAAATCTCCTTTCTGTGTTATCCAGCTTTGTCCAGCGTTATTTTAGGTTTTCGAAATACCTTTGCACATAACATTTTTTTCTCAGTTTATATTTCACTTTTGTTCATTTTAGTTTCATTAATTATAGTCATAAACAATGCTCAAAACCTACATAAATTATTTTTACATTTCTTCATGATTGCACTTTGTATGTACTGATTGTCATTCTGATCTCCATTTAAGCTAGTTGAATTTTGCAGTTGTGACCTCTGATCAAACCAAAATAACTTTCCTGAAATATATGTGATCTGTGCCACCTATAAAACTGCATTTACTAAAAGTGAATGCAGTTAAACTGCATTTACTTAATACAGTTTGATTGAAACAAAATATCTGCATCCACACTGCTACATTGAAGGATCCCAAAAAGTGAGTTTAGATCCATCATGAAGAGAAACAACAAATGGTGTTTCCAAACTCAATTGTTTCTTTTATCTTTTTTCCACCACTGATCCAGTGAGAGCAGCAACAATTATCAGTGCACTATTTGTGTTTGCGCAGCTTAAAAAAAGACTCCTAACAAAATTTTAAAGAGCATTAAACATCACCTGCATAGTTTTTTTTTTTTGTCTATTGAATTTAACCTGTAAACATAAAAGTACAATTTCTACACCCTTTCCCCACAATTGCACATTTAAAAAGGGATCTTGATCATTATGTCCTTATGTGTCCCAAATGCATTGATTTTGGTTTTTGCAGGAAGCTGGCACCCGTTTTAGCCAATTTCGTGACTAATATTTATGTTGACTTTTGTCTTGATGAGATGTGTATTCTATTAGAAATATTCACACTTCCAAGAACTTTCTTGGTAATTGCTGTAATTAATCACTGAAAGCATACATTGTGCAAAATAATACATGAATAGTGGACCATCTCTCATCCTGAATGTTCTTTTATAATTAATATCACAATTGGCTTAGAGCTCTTGGCATTAAATGTTTCGGACATCAAATGCCTTATGTCCTTGGGCGAAAAGGCAGTTGTTACTGTATGCTGCATTTTAATGCTTGCTAATTCATACTTATACAACTGATGCCCAGCTTTTACCCATTTTCTTACACCTGAGTTATTTTGTACTTGTGCAATTAATTTTTATTCTTATTGCACAAGTGAGACGATTGTTACTGCATTTATACTAATTCATTTTTTCCTTCCTCCAGCCGGCAACCATCAAGACTCACAACATCATCGAGAGGACGGCCAACTTTGTGTGTCAGCAGGGGGCTCAGTTTGAGATCGTGCTGAAAGCAAAACAGGCCAGGAACTCCCAGTTTGACTTTCTCCGGTTTGACCACTATCTGAACCCGTATTATAAACACATCTTGCGGGCCATGAAGGAAGGTCGATACAACCTTGTCTCTTCCAACAAGCAGAACCAGTCGCAAGGTGAGTTCCACAAGTTCGTTACTGAATCCGCAGCTATGGAACTTTATTTTAGTTTTTTGTATGATCCAGGAAAAGGATTTAATGACTCAAAAGCATCATTAAAGGGATAAGGTTGATGATATTCTTGTCCGTGGTACCTGTTTCCATAGTACTTTAGCATATTCAATTCCAACACAATCTGCATTAATATCATGTGTGAATTGCTTCAGTAAAAAGTCATTGCAGTATTTCTTTTCTTGCCAGACTCAAATTCAGAAGATTCTGATGATGATGGAGATGGAAACTATCTTCATCCCAGTCTTTTTGCTCCTAAGAAATGTTCTCGCCTAGAGGAGCTGACAAAGGTAATTTCAGAATACAGATGCTTCATTGTCTGGCTGATTTCATTGTTCATTGTTATTGTATATTCCAGGCCTTTTTTTTTGTTTTGCATTTTTAGCAACCCTTTTTCCTCAAAATTCTGAGATATGAACCTCCTCAGCATCTTGAAAGTTATGTGCATCCTCATTACTGTTTCTTAGTATCCTATAATTACTGCCTGTGTGCTGATGAGACTAATGTATAATAACTGTCTTGCATTTCCCTGTTATCAAGCTGTTAGATTTTTGTTAGTGCTTTTACGTGATTTGTCATGAAACGTGTTGATCTCTATGCAGCAATATGGAAAGCATATCTTATTTTTTATGAGGACATAATCAGATTATTTTAGCAAAAAGTTGAAGAACATTCATTTCTTATAAGGAAGGATTTTCTTTCTAATTAAAGAACACATTTTCTAATTAAGACTCGTTGTCCTATAATTTGTGGCTTTATTGTCTAAATTTTTAAGAACTTTCATATTTAACTGAGGAAGACAACAATATAGTATTGATGCTCTGAAAGAAAATGCAGTCCAATTATGTTATCTCCAGTTTTAGAGACCTTTAATGACTTGGTATGAACTTTTTTATTGTTACAGTAAAAGTTTTTCATCTAGTGATGATCTTAAATGTTATATAGGAGTGCATTTGGGTTGATATTAAAATTTGGTGTTGGTGCCGCTGTTATGAATGACGACCAATACTTACCTACAGTTTTGACAGTGTGTAAAATTGACCACACCTCTCATAATTCTCTGCTTCAGTTAAACAGTCTGCAATCCAAAACAGAAACAAAGTGGAAATAAATATTTGTTGTTCAGTTTGGCCCAGCTGTAGTTGGACAAATTTATTACAAAAATGACTTTCATCACCTGACACCAAAGTCAATGTTGTTGTTGAGGCTTCTGAGTGGCTTGCACCTAGAGTGAAACCTTTGAATTGACTTTCATGCAGTTTTCTCTTTATGGTATACTTAAATATTGACCTCCTGGACAGTGTTGTTGACTTGCTTGGCTTTCTGACGGGGCTTCTCTTCAACATGGAAATTATTCTGCAGTCATCCACTTATATTGTTGTTCCTGCCTTCAAATGAAAGTTGAGAGTCTGGACATTATGTCATTATGTCTATGTTTGTTATATAACTATAACTGAAGCATGTTTTAGTAAACAGATGAACTAAATTTCAGTGTCCAAGTATGTATAAACCTAATAAGGTTTATGATCTTGTTGTTCTGCAGCCTCTTAAGATTATGGACCCAGATCATCCCCTGGCAGCAATTGTACTAAAAGCTCAAAGGGAAAGAAATGGCACAGCAGCTACAGTCACTGCTCCTGAGGAACCTCCACCCACTCCACCAGTCCAGTACTCTGCTGACCGTGAGTATATGAACAGAGAAAACCGAATCAGTTCTATTGCATCTCTGACTGCTGGTCAAGTCAGAGTTAAATGTATATGTAAAAATTTTATTTGAAATAATATTGAAGAAACCAAATTGTCCATTGTGCAGTGTTGTATTAGTAGTGGGGTTTTATAACTTTTCCAAAATTCTTTATATTGTTGTTTATCTTCATCAGTAATAAGAACGAAATGCAAGTGCTGATATCAATCTGATGTGCTAAAAACAAATGTGGCTAAGCAATTGTTCCTGCATTCTAAAACCCGGTTTGCAAGATGCCAGAAAAAGCACAAGTGTGACCAGATTTTTCTGAGCTTGTGTAATGAACCTCACATCACCGGCCCTCCCTCATCTGTAAAGGACGGCTCTTCTCAGTTGCTCACAAGAAGATATGTAATGGGTTAAATATACATGTCCTATATTTTTGTCTTGTGTCTATCTATTCAATCAACAACTATTAAAGACACCAATATTTAAATAGCAATTAAATATTTGTGAATAGCTCATGCTGCTGGATTTGTAGATTTTCACACCATAAAAGTCTCCTGCCCTCCCTTATCAGTGTTTTATTTTTTTAAATGTTATTTACTACTCCCATATATGTATGGATATCTACAATTCAATTTAGACCTCCTTTCACAAACATCAGCTCTTAATCTTGTGCTGCATGACAAGTTTGTAAATCGGAGTCCCTGCTTTGACTTTTTATTTTCTAAACTATAAAATATAGTGTCATTAACGATGGCTAACTCAGTGAGTAATGTGTTAGCATCACACTGTCTCTACTTTGACTTTGACCATTTATTTCATTCTGTTCCTGCATTTCTAACCTTTCTTTTAACATTAACAGATCTTTCAGATTAAAAAACTTCTGACAACTAAGACAACCTTTCTATGCACAGGTCACATGTGCATTTTTATCACCTCCTTCTGATAGGGTTGTTGTTTTTCATATCTGGTTTCATCTGTATGTACAGGACACTGATGTCTTTTTAAAACTTTGGGTATGTGTTTGTTTTCTTAACTTGAATCATCAATGAAAGGACTATAAGAGGGATTGGTGGTTCTCCGTCTTGTGTAATAAACTCGATCTGCTCTGTCTTTCATTTTAACTATCCTTGAAAAAGTCATTTTAACACAGCAAATGAGCCAAAAGAAATGTAGCATTTGTGTTATTTATAGCACATTTCCACTTCCATCACCGGGTGACTTTTCCTTGACTGGTCCATGGTCTTTAGCAAGGTTAAAATGCACAGCCTGCATAATTCAAGAGGCTGAAATGATTCCGTACAGTGTCAAATTAATGTTTTAAGCTCATCATGCATCCATTATCATGACATCAGCGTCTGATATAAAAACACCCCAAAATCACAGCCTAAAGCAGATATTTAAATTATTGATGCCAATCTCCACAAAAACTGATAATTATTTTCCACTTAAAGCTATTATTTGGTTGTTTGGACAAGAAAATTAGTTGCATGACATTGTCCTTGTTCAAAAGCATTACTGTGTTTTGTATTCATCAAAGCATCTCTATTGAATGAGCTGAGCAGTTTTTCCTTTAAGTGGAGCATTTGGGTTATTTCTAAGATCTATTACAGTGATTTGTAAAATGTTTATTTTGACATACCTGCATTCAGTCCCCTGTTTACTCCAATACATCAAAATGAAAACTATATTTATAATAGTTACTTCTTTTGTCTGCAGCTGTCTACTACGGGTATTACATGCTTCCAGATGGCTCATACTGCTTAGCTGCACCTCCACCTGGTGTAGATGCAAATTCGTACTACAACAATATGACTTCAGCTGTCGTTTCGGCCCCTGCTTCCTCTGAGCCTTCGTCCCACAGTGAGAGCACTTCAACACCTGCTGTAACTGTCACCATGGCACCACAAGCTGCAGCTCCCCCACAGGTTTCCACCCCAGCTGCTGCTGCTGCTGTGAACGTACCAGAAATCAGGTATCGACTTGATAAATATTACTGTTTTTGTCTTACATTTGAATAGAATTGAAAAATGCTTTCTGAGAAATTGAAAAAGACACTATCAAATTGATATGTAAAATAACTTTTTACGTGCATACTGGCGCGTATCTGCCATGTTGCCCATTGCTGACTTGCTTTGCACTTCCACATGTTCCCCCAATATAGCTCCAAAGTTGAAGCTCCAGTTTCCACATCAGCGCCGCCAGCCATCATTCCCCCACCACCCGACATCCAGCCAGTCATAGACAAGCTGGCAGAGTATGTTGCGAGGAATGGACTGAAGTTCGAAGCTAGCGTCCGTGCTAAGAACGATCCCCGGTAATTGTTTTTGTGATGCACAAATCTGTTGTGTAATCAGATTGTAATAAATCAAAAAATGTTTTACTTTAGGACTTCTTTGTCGTCTTTAAGCTTAACTTGTGCTTCTGTCTTTTATAGGTTTGATTTTCTGCAGTCTTGGCATCAGTACAATGCCTATTATGAGTTTAAGAAGAATTACTTCTTGCAAAAAGAAGGAAGAGCCCTATCAGAGGTATTATACTATATAATATTTGTTTGTGTCTTTAGATTTAGGACAGATTTTTCTAAAGCGAGTTAATCACTCACTTCGTCTGGAAACATTAGCTATATAATGGTAAACAAGATGATATCATAACAGTTAGTAAGGACATTATTGACAGTTTGTTTTTAGCAGCAAAACATTTATAAATACCTGAATAAATGTCATCAGCTGTTGATCGTGTTGAATACAAAGAATGTTCGGGATTAACATAAAATTTGTTTTACAAGCTGGTAATGAGCAAGTTCAGTTTTGTTTTTCCAGTTCTCTACATGTGAAGAGAATTCCCATGTGGTGCTTGCACTCTGTTTTTAAACATCTTTATGTAGTAAAAATGTGACGGATGTTAAATAATAATGTGAAGGCATGTTTTGACAGTACAAACAGAACATTTTCAGATCCCATAGAACGATGCGAATTACATCTGCTAACACAAAGGCCATCTCTTGTTTTATTCTGCTGAATGGCTGCTTTAAAAAATTTATAAAACTGAGGTTAAATTCAGCCACTACCAGCTCTATGTAACCTCTTAATTTTTTAAATTCCATGTATTTAGAAGTAATTCTCATTGTTGTCTGAAGCGAAATGTTCACTTTCAGCCATTGGTTCAGCGTTAGCGATCTTGGAGAGGAATTATTGCTAGATCTGAATGAAATAACTGAACTATTAATATGAGCAGTTTTTATATCAGTAGGCTTCTGAGATTGAGAAAAGGTTGTGTCATTCAGTGCACTTGGTCAACCTTGAAATTAGTTGCTTTATGTTCCAAATATTCTTGGATCTGGCATGCAGGAATTGGAGACTTCGTGTTCCATAATATTTAAATAAGGAAAAGAAAAAAAAAATACTGTGAGAATCGAAAAGATTATCTGCCAGGGATATCGTCAAAAGTTGCATTGAGTACAGATTGCTAATCATTGCAAAGTCATTTACCTTGAGGATGAAGGTATTTTCACTATGATAACCTAGCCAGCCGAATCTGTTTTGTTTGTGGAATCTGGTTAATTTGGGTCCTGGATACTTTTCACATGTTTTTGCACACACTGTTGGTGCAAAAATAACCTCCTCACTAAACAGCCACGTCTTCTTCACCTTTGGTATTTCATAGACTGACAGAACTTAAAAATAGCAAGTTGCAGAATCAGCTGTGTTGATGTTTGGTGTTGTGCATTTTGCTTTGCCAGCTCTCTTGTTTCTGTACACATCTGCCATTCTGCTGTTCACACATGCTGCTGCTGACGTGCAACAGAAACACAAAAAAAACCAAAAACTGCTTTGCAATCGCAAAATGCGACCCTCTGGGATTGAACAATGAAGCAAACAAATAATTGCTAAGTGACGTTTTCCTCTACTAACCAGCTCTGAAAAGTCAATCGGTACCGACTGGTACAAAGAGGTTTTATTTAGTTTCCCAAATCATGGCAGCTGTTTTGAGTGAAAACTTTTGAAACTCATCACCTCATATTGCTGTAGCAGCTGTGGTGGGGACAGTGGAGGTACGCTTCATATTCTCAGGCATTTACACAAAACATGCGTCACATATCATTAACGTGAATTTAAACTCGAGGACAAATATGATTTTTTAACACAAAGCTTCTTGTTTTGGTCAAACAAGTCAGTTGATCAGGTCTCGTTGCTGAAATGCCTGGTCAAGTTGACAACCACTATTTTGTCAGTGTAGATACAGGTGCAGATCTAGAAGGAAAAGCAAAAAAAAAATATGTACCTATGAGGTCATCAATGTAAATGAATTATATGCTCTCCAACCTCTTCATTGAACAGAGCAATGATTGCTGAACAATGTCCCATTTTATTCTGCAGCTGCAACCACTCCAAAGCCAACCTGCCAATTTGAAGCACTCCTTGACTTAGATGGATCTCATGAATCACGAGTGCGAGGAGCAAATCTGGCATTCAGCATCTTATTCACAAAATATTCATAAAATTTCTCATTCTCCACCAAGTTTTTTATGCATCAATTAATCAATCCATCAATCTATCCATCAATCAATCAGATTGATCATTATCAATACATTTATACACTGTTGTATGTACTATTATCCATACAATTATAACACTTATTAAAATTAATGAGTGATTTGACTTATATTAAATAAAATTAGGCAGTTTAAACATGGTTATCAATGTATGGTTAGTCTGATTTCTCCATTTCGTCTTCAGCACACTATTACACACAACTCTGCTCTCAGAATAATATTGAATAAATATTTTTTGTCACACCGACATTTAAAAAAAAAAAAACATCATCCTACTACTGCTTTTTTTAAAACCTTTTATTTGCGTTTCTAAAAGATATAGAATCTTTAACATGGCAGATGACAAGTGTATTCCTTCGAGGTCTCACCTACACTGAGAAGTGATGAAGCTTAGAAATTTTCATCATCACATTTAAAGAACATTAATTCAGCATTTTATGAGACATATTTCAGTTTAATTAACTTTGTAGTTATGGCATTTGAAACAGTCTCACTCTGTGGTAGATTTAATGCGATGTCGCCTGTCAGTGACGTGTGTCCAAGAATATTTTTTGTGCATTTCTCAATGCTACCCTGATATAAAGGCTCAATAAAGTTTTTGTTGTTATTTTTACTTTAGCATAAGCTAATCAGGAATGAGAAAATGTATTGAAACTCTGAATTCAACAATTTTCATTTTGTGTTCAGGATCTGTAGACTATTTCTGTTTCATTGCAGACATTTCTGCTTTCTGTCAGTGCCAATATTCTATCTTACAGTTTACAAAAGGCATGGACCTCACAGCTAAAGAAAGCTAACAGGTGTGAAAGGTTACCCTGTGATCTGTTTGAGATAATCTTTATTTTTTTCAATCAAGTCTTCCTGGGATGTTTTAATCTGTCTTTCCTCCCACTTATTCAACTCTGAGCTTTGATATTTGAGTTCCTTGAAGAGGTCATCTTCTGGGGTCATTCTGATTTTGTTCACTGACTTTGAAAGCATAGATCACTCACAACCCAATTTTCCTCTCAAATGTTCTTAAAACCTTTTGAAATGTATCTCATGAGGCTACATCTTTACCTTTCATTTGACCTTCATCACCCCTCGTCCCATCACTTCTTCCCACATATTATGTAATGGCTAAATGTTTAAGTTGAGTGTGTTAGTCTATAGTAGAACATGGAAAGCTTTTTTGCGAATAATTACGCATGCAGGTGTATAAATGAGAGTCATGGGAAGGAAAATGCAGCCTTGACATGATAAGAATGATCATAATATAAACATGACTATTCGGTAACTATAGATTATTTATTGAAATGACACACCATTAGTTTGCTGCATTACATTAGCAACAAATATAAACTGTAAATGTAAGGATTATTCTGCTACAACCTCATTTATCAACCTTTGGATTTTTGACAAATGTTGAAATCACAACATGTTTTAAATTAATCTTTTTTAAATTACTTTTTGTAAGCCTAACTTCATGCTTACAAAAAGCATGAAGTTTTTGTAAGCATGCTTTTTGAACTGTTAGTCCATCTTTCAATGCTGAAAGATGGACTAATTGGGTCCATCTTTCAGCATTGTGAAGATGGACCCAATTAGAACATGCTACAACAGGAAATTAAATAAATAAATGTCACTAATGAGTTAAACCTAGCTTTCAATAAGTCAGAATTTGACTCCCAGATCCACATTGGGTGGAAACTGTTTGTCACTAATTTATTTGGTGGTTTCAGTAACTGAGGAGGTCAGAATGGCAACATAAACTATTTTGAGAATAATCCAGAAGTTACAAATGGATTTATACTATGAGTGATCTAGGTTTTTTTTCTACCTGCTGGAATGGCAAAGACCCCCAACCATCCTTCCATGCCAACCAAGGAGAGGCTGAAGAAGCACAACATTGGGGTCATACACAGACCAGGCAAAGCTACAGTTCTCACTCCTATGGAAAGTTGCCAAGTAATTGTCATAAAATATTAATTTCTTTAAAGCATTGGGTCAAAATCCTGATGATGATGAACAACAAGAAAAAACACCTTACGTCTGTGCTAATATAAGTTTCCCTGCATATTCAAGGTCATGTTTTGCTGAGTGATTAATTACTTTATTGAGCAAAGTGAAAATCAAAATATAACTTTTATTAAATGTCTTCAGAGCAATATCTGGTTGATTGTCTTTCTTTCCACCATTTAGAATAAATTACCTTAAAAATATTGTGCTTCTTATTGCCTTTTGTGTGGACAAACTGTACCCTACTTTTGCATTTTTCCAAATGTTGCATATCTTTAATGGTGCCCAGCTTCTGTTACAGAAATATTGTAGAACAGAGAATTTACCCAGGAGTCTCCTTTCATGTTTTCCACATCAGCAATTTTTTTTTTTCTGCAAAATTTCAACCTCAAATTTAGATTCACCTCTGTATATAGATAATTACAATGATTAAATAAAATGGCTGTAATTTTAGGGTAGCAATGAAAAGAAATGACCCTTTTTAACGTTTCAGCATCATTCATTGTGGTACTGCACAAGCCGGATGTGTTGCAAACACTTTTATGTGTCAAAAAGCTTTCCTAACTAACTTTTTCACACACTGCTGGTGCATATCTAATGGTGCATTATGTAACAAATGAACGTATTCAGGTTCTACTGAAGTCTCATTTTCAGCACCATCTGCCTCCTGTCAAAGTTTTGCTGTTTTTATGATTTCATCGCAGAAAAAAGCAATAAGTTTTGATGGATGTCCTACATTTTACTGATCTGCATTTTAACAATTTAAACTGATCTCATTTGAATTATCTGTTTTGCTTTCTTTTCATGTAGAGTGTGACAACAAACGAAGATAAGCTTCAATCAGACGACTCAGCTAATGACGCCAAGCTCACAAAAGGTAGTTTATTATTGCAAAACACACAAATACATTACAAAAATAGGTCATTTTGTGATGTATTTGTACTCAGAAGTTTTTCACATTTTGACCTCTTGCAGTTAATGTGTTCTATGTGGGAATAGACCAATATAAAGTAGTGTTTAAAATTGTGACTTGGAAGGAAACAGTTGCAATGTCTTGGAAAAAGTGCATGTTTGTATGTGTTATGCCCCCTTCAAAGATTTGTTAAACAAAGCAGTGAAACAGCAGAACTGTGAATGAAATGGAACACACCTGACAGGTCACAGATAACGTTTTGGGGGAGTTTAAAGACAAGTTAAGATGTATATTACTATTCAAAGTGTTCAAATAAGTTCTGTTCAATCCCTCATTTGACGTCTACTTAAGCTACCAAAGAAGCGGAGCATTAATTGGAGAATATACCATATGTAACTCAGGAGGGGCTGCAGAGATTCTCACCTTAGTCAAGAGAATCTGTTAAGTCAGCTTTCAGTTATTTACTTTACAAATCAGGCCTTTGCAGAATAGAGGGAGAAGTAAATAGCCTCTTTCAGAGAATCCTTCTTTCTCGGAACTGTGCATGTTTATCCACACCACTTGATAAACTGACATGTTCAGAGATGGGGCTTTCAAGTTGTCCGCCAATATTGTGCCCCTCTCAGGATGGTACTCATAACCCTAGAACTATGAGGGACAATATCCCAAAGTAGTTTAACATAGTATAAAAACATCCAGAGCAGCTGATTTGTCTACAAGTGAGAACAGAACGGCGTGTCATATTATCCCCTTAGTCCATCTGATCTGAGAAACCGATATAGATAATATTATGCAGATAATAGAGCTTTGTGCTGTGTGTGGCATTTCCTCCTAAGGGTAATACCAACACGTAGGTGAATGCTGTATGTTGTGGGCCGCATGCTTTGGTTCTGCAATTTCATCTCCATGATGTGAAACATCAAAGTGATTCACAATGAGGGCTTCTTCATTCCCCCAAAAATTCTGCCATGGCAACAAAACAGTGACCAAAAAGCACAACATTAGTCAGACACTGGCCAAGTATCCTGGTAATTGAAGGCAGCACAGCATTTTTGGGCTTCTTTCCTCCACTAGTTAGACAAAGGAAAGCTAAATATATATGAATATTGGTAAGAAATGTAAACATTATTTATTTTTATTTTATTTCAATATTATACAGTACTTCAGGTTGGTGTACCACACTAAATCCCAATTAGATATATTGCCATTTGTAGTCATAGTGTGATGAAATAAAAACAAGTGCAAAGAAACAAATTTGCAAGGCATAGTATATGCTATTCACTTCAGTTGAGCTTTTTTTTATTACTGTCCTTCTAAAATAAGATGGAAAGTCCTTGAGCAAAATGTGTGCATAATTACCCCTGAGCATTTAGTTACTTTAATGCTCAGCTATGAGCTATATAGACAAATCATAACTCATTTGTCTATGAGCTTTGTATTGTGTTTCTGTCTATGAGCTTTATATTGTCATTTTTGTACAGGCACCCATGAGTGTGGTTGTGTTTACGTTGACAATTTCATTTGATGATATCGGGCCACAAATGTCTAAGATTAGACTGCTTACCTCTGTGCTCGCAGGAGCAATAAACATGCACAGGCTCTGTATGGAAATGAGGCATCCATGCAGACTGATTATTGGGATGCCACTGATCATGGACCAAGCTGGGGAAAACTAATATCGAGATAGAAAATAGCCCAAGTAACCTATACAGCCCTTCACTATAAGGATCTTGGTCCTATATTAAGGATATTGCTTCAGGGAATAAGGCACATAGTCTTCTTTCAACTCTGCTAGAGAAAATTTATTTGGTAATGAAATAGAAATACATTGTATCCTACTGCTTCAACTGACAATTTTTCTGGCTGTTTATGATTGGCTATTTTTAATTTTTTTGTTAAAAAAGTCCCAGTTATCTTTTCTCCTCCTGTCATTTGGCCCTCCTTTCTCTCCTCCTCTTTCACCTGATCTCTGTCTTGATTAGTTTTGTAATCTTACTTTCTGTCGTTCCAGTTTACTGAAGAAACCAAAATAGGCCTGGATGATCATGTCTGCCCTCTTACGAACCCTCCTTTGGTCTTTTTTAAATCACTTAACCTTTGTCTTTGTGCTTTCACAGCCTCTTTTGCCCCCATCTCTTTTGCAATCAAGCCAAAGGAAAATGACCTACTTCCCTTGGAGAAGAACAGAGTGCGACTGGACGATGATTCAGATGAAGACAAAGTCAGTTTTTAATTTCTTTTTTTAACATCTACAGTCATGTGTAGATGTTGTGTTTTTTTAATAGCAAAGTAAGCACCTTCCTCATAATACAGTTTTTAACACATTTGATGATGTTTTTTTTGCTGGTAGTTTTTGGAAGAGGAGGGGCTTGATGCTGTGATAAGTGGAGCTATAATGGTTGAAAAAGAGCCTCCTCCTGTGATTACATCTGAAGAGAAGAAACCTGTCCTAACATTAGAAGAGCTGGAAGCAAAACAAGGTAAATCCAAAAATCTAATTAAACTTGTAATCTTGAGCTCTGTTTTATTTCCGCATTACTTATTTCGCAGATACAATCTGATGACTGACTGGACCTTTTATGGTGCAGGAAAACATGCTCATTTTTTTGCACTTACTTAAAACAATAATTATTGTGAGGGTGAATTTGTGGTCTGGGCTTCTTTGGCATGACTTACAGCATCATTGTGGCACAGAAGTCATCCACCTATGGTATAAAGGAAGTCCTTGTAACCTCTGAGCGGTTTAGGTCAGTCATGGTTTTTGGACCATCAAGCACAGCATACTATGGTTATTAAGTCACATATTGGTACTTTTTGGAGTGTGAGCAGGTGCCAGATCTGGGCCAAATAAAATCAGCATCACTATAAACATGGGCAACAAAGGGAAGCATGAAGGTTCTCTTAAATTCCCACTTTCAGTAAAGTAGTTGTGCTGACTTTGGTCTTGAGTTAACACAACAAACCAACAGCAGCAGATGGCATAGCTCCTCAAACACTTGATTTTGTGCCTCATCTCTCAGTGACTCTAGAACCTTAATTTCCTTTCTAAAAGCAAATTTAATTTTCAATTAAAAACAAGATCGTTCGCCACTGGGCTAGGGATGCAGATTGCAGTTTTGTTGAGTGCAGATTTCTGGCTGATCAGTTATCTTTAAAAAGGTTGACATGCCAATACCAATTTTGACTAATCATGATTTTGTTGTCTTAAAAGTCAATGAGTTGGCCACAGTGACAATTGTTAATTGCACACATACAGAGGTGACCTGGTGAGCAGGACTGTCAGGCAGCCCTCACTCACAGCAGAACCAAAGAAGACAGTGGTTGATTTTCAGATCTTTGCAGAGGTAGTTAAGATTGGTAGATAAGACTGCTCTCTTGTGTAAGCATCAACTGATCACTGATCTCACAACATCAAAGAAATCTGAGGCAATTTATTGGTACACCGCTACACCGAGCAACTGTGTCCAGTTCTATTTTTTCTTAGTCTAGGTAAAGCATGTTTGTTGTGTCTGAATCAGACTTTGCTAAGAAAAAAGAAATATTACTGATTGGTGGCAACTGTTAAGTGAGCAGTCTTTCCTGCTCAGTTGGTCGTATGTAATATTAAAGTTTTCATTTTCCAAGTAATAATATTTCAACCTAAGAATGTTAAATATATGTGTGTGTGTTATGAATCTGTAGGTTGTTTCACTTGTTGAAATGAAATTCTGAAAAGAAAGACAGTACTTCAAAGTCATTTTTACATGTGAACACTGTCATTGGATGCCAATGGAGTAGAAATTCAGTATTTCCATGAAGGTGATTTATTAAGCGAGCTTGTTGTCGAGTGGGCCGATACAGCCTAATATAACCTTTTACAGGCTTTCATTAGTTGGTCAGCTTTTATCACCGCAGTAAATGAAACCATCACAATTATCATACTCATTTTTAAATAATGAAAAGGCAAGTTACCAACATAATATTCTCTTCAGCAATATTCCATGACTTTGTGTTCTGTCACCATTTTTAGTGCTGTGAATTCGGAATGGCATAGTAAATTATTGCAACGCATATCAGATTTTTCTGATTGACATCATCTTGTAAGTGCTTTCAACAAATGCCCTTGAGACGGCCTGTGTCTTTAAAGAGAGAAATGTTTTGCATTTTATTATAGTTACTGATTAGATCAAAATCATAATAATGGCCTTTTGACTAGAAAGACAGCTGTTAAATTGAACCTTAAAAGACAGATGGATGGTCAAAGACAAATGTGCTACTTTCAGCATCAATGAGGTTGTCAGGTTTCTTTAGGTTCACTGGAACAATTTTAGAATCTAATGGCTTTTTTTTTTAAATTGACAGGCGGCCAGAGAAAGAGGCTGCAGCAGCCTAATATAAAGCTGACCAAATTGCTTCTGCTGTGCAGCAATGTGGCTGTCAGTCAGTAGGCCTAACTTCATCAGATAGCATAAGGATCAGTAGCAGACAGCAAACACTTATCTGTAGTGATGGCGTGAAGAAAGGCCACCCACATCGAATGGTGTTTGTGATAAACAAACCGGAGATGCAAACATTTCCCAGTAGATGTGCTCTTTTGATTGTGGGCAGCTGGGAATGATTATCAATGTGTAAATTGTCCCAGATATATCTCATTTTAGTTCACATTTTGGGGTTGTTTTAAACAGTGAGACTTTGATGGTGATATACTTTGATTTGTATGACCAACCAACCAAGAATTATCAAAAGTAAATGATTATCCTTAGACTTTTTATTTTTGTTTTCTTCAGTTCACTCCCCCTTTTATAGAATGCAATTTATTTTTTATATGAATTCATTCAAACTGATTTTGTTTAGAAGAAAACAAAATATAGAACCTTTTAAGACCTTAACATTGATAGTCCTCACAGATTGAGCTCTAGAGTACTCTGTAGACTTGATTTAGAATCTTTTTTTTCCCACTTAGTTTAAGTGTTTTAGTTTTTCACATATATTATCTGACTTTAATACTATAAATTCACAAATTCTCTGTTGATGTTTTAATCTACTTCAGTTTACTAATTAAATGCATGGCCTATATTGTTGTATTTACAAACTGTGTGCTAACTGTAAGCTGCTGTTAAAAATTGGCATTTTTCATCTGCATCTAAATTGCTGATCATGTCAAAATACCATAAATTAGATTCTAATCCATTACTTGGAATCAGTTCCGCCATCCTTTTCCAGCATTTTCATGCAGCAAAAAAGTCTTCAAAATTAATTGGATGATAATTAAATACCAAAATCTTGTCTCATTTTTCCACAACTTTTCTATTCTAATGCATCTAATTGATGATAATTCTGAAAAAACAACAGCGAGACGAATGAATGCCAATATTGTGTTGTCATTGTCTGGGGTACAGATGGATTCTACTCATCCTGGCTGCTATTCACTGTACTCAAGTGCGATTTGCCTCAGCAGCTGGCCTATTTTTAACGCTTTAGAGATTCCTGTATCCCCAGCGGTTACATAACCTAAAAAAGTGAGGTTTTGGTTAGTATTTTCTTATATATAACGATCCTACATTGTACTTTTTTTGTTTTCATTTGTCTCTTAGCATCTCATCATTCCTTACTGTTCTTTACCTTTTAAACCCCAACTTCCTTTTACTGCATCTCTTTCTTTCATTTACCAAATAGTTTATATTTTCATTATTACCAACAAGTATTGTCTCCCACACCATATTTTCTATCCCACTTTGAATTTTTCTGTATAAACCCTAAATTACTTGACATTATGTATCGCACAAAATGCAGTTGGGTGTTAAAGTCTTTTGCAGAACCTCTGTCAATCTTTAGCTGTTATGAACTCAGAAAATTGCCTGAAATTACTTTGGTTAGATGTGTCAGTAAATGTGGAAAAGTACTTTCGGTATCTTTTTTTCTTCTCCTGCCTGTTGCTTCACTTTTGATTTTGTCTAGGTATGTTTTTTTTTTCTTCCATTTTTCTTCCCGTCTTTATTTTTGTAGTTCTTGTTATAAACAGGCTCCTATTTTCTACCTTGTTTTTAAATGTCTACAAAGTGAACATTCAACTTCGTAGTTGAATGTCTCAGTGGTCAAAACACAAGAGGAAAGTGACTACCTTCCAACCATTTGTCCTGTGTTTCCTTGTTCATCTTGTTGCCTTCAGCCAAGCAGAAACTGGAGGATCGCCTCGCAGCTGCAGCCAGAGAGAAGCTGGCCCAGGCATCTAAGGAGTCCAAGGAGAAACAGCTACAGGCGGAGAGGAAAAGGAAGGCAGCGCTGTTCCTGCAGACGCTCCGCGGTCCAATCGCTGGAGAGCCTGGGGCCAAGAGAGCGGAGCTAGAGTCATATACACAGCAAGAGGTAAGAACAGAGGTCTTCATGATGGGTCTTTTTCTCAGAGTAAGTTTGGAAAAAGTAAACACTCACTGACAGTTTACATAATTTCTAAGAAGACAGGTTTGAGAAATAAATTATGTTAAAATAATGTTAGAATTTTGAGCTGGAAAGCATACAGAGTATTTGAGTAAAATTTGTAAGCAAAAATCTTTCCATGTTTTATTCTTTAGTCTTCCTCCCTCCCTTATTTCCTCTTTTTTCTTCCCACCTCTTCCTTTTGTACCAAAGTAGCTTGAGGTCAAAGCATGTAGTAACAATTTTGGAGAGTGATTCAAAAGTGGGGAGAGACAGTGTCATGTTTTATTCACATGAGACTAGTTCCCTTATGTCTTTTTTGCCTGAAGTGTCTGACCCGTCTGTATACCATCCTACCTGGTGACTAACCATATCTCGTCTTTATTGTTTCTCCTGTGCTTCAAATACCTTGAATAACCTTCAACTTAGTCTCAAAAAGATTTTCCCTAAAAGTTGGGTCATTGCCAACCTCTTAGAGATGAAATGTTATCAAGAAAACTGGAATTATTTAAGTGCAGACTTAAAAGTAATTATTTTGCTTTCAAATTCCTGAAGACAACGATGGAGTTTGGTGTCTGGCTCAACCTCTCCAAAGCAGAGCTGATGTACTCTGATACATTCTATCATGAGACAGTTCCTGTCAGACGTCATCCACAAAATGCTGAATACAACACATATACCATAGAATACCAATGTTTGAAGATGAGATGTAATTGCTGTGTTAAATTCAAAGACAGACTTTATACATTGACATACTGAGAATCTTTATGTGATTTTGAAAAAAAAAATCTGTCTCCTTTTTTTTCTTTTTACCGCTGCTGGGTGCAAACCATCACTGTGACCTTTTTTTAGGCTTTCGTTGTCATAAATATTTTCTAAAGCAACTCTTTTCAACAGGAGAGAGTTTTACTTGTGACAAGTGTTGAAATATTGAAAAGGAAAGGTGGGCAATTAAAGCAGAAATACTTTTTGAAAATCATCTGCTCATTTTTTTTAATTATAGCACAAAATGCACACTTATACTCTAAAAGGCGACATGCATTAATCATTTTGACATTGCACATGTGTATGTCACTTTTTACTCATGTTGGATAATAACATCTCAAAGTGTCAGCTTAATAACAATTTACAAGTCTTTTCTAACACAATTTTCAAAACGGAACCTAGAATAACAACTAAGACAGCAATACTTGTACAAACATTAACTTGTCACTCTCATTTTAATAAGTGATGACAAAATCTTTCAGACTGTTGTCTATTTTACATTTTTGTTTCAAAAACTGAACTTGTAGCCTTAAGATGTTTTACATCCATCTGCTGAAGCCCCATTTAATGGAGCAAAGCTTTTTTACACTAATGATTCCATCCTGCACACGTTCAGAGGAGCAAAACTGAAAGTTAATATATTTTCTGGCAGAAGTTGCAGCTCACCTTTGATCTTGTTTTCCACCTTGTAATTTATTAAAACTACTACAGTAGGCATTTTTCTGCATCATAGCATCTATCGAAGCACGAGGTGCACTATTGCCACCTAGTACCTGTAAGTACTGTTCACATGATAAGCTATATAGGCTATTCACATTGCAGGGGTAAGATTCAGTGCTTGGGGAAGAGGGCACATGTCTTTTCAAACTACATCTTGAACACAGCATACAGCTGTCTGCCAAAGAAAAGCCCCAGTGCCTTTATTCACTAATGATGAGAAGCAGAAAGAAAAACATCAGCGATAATATTATCTAGCTTTGGAAGTTGGGCTTGCTCCCCAGCTGCTGTACTGAAACAACAGTGTCTTCCACACTGATGTGAGACAGCGCAGAGCTGTGTGGCAGACTGAGAGTCTGCTCTAAAATTAAAATCAGTCACAGCTCAAGCAGCTCTCTGTGGTCAGGTTGTAGTCATTAGTGCATAAAGATACAGCTATGGATGTTTTTTTTTTGTTTTGTAGAATTTCTCCTGATGAAATTATATGAACTGCCTCATCAGAAAGCTGCTTTCAAATGAAATAGTTTGAAGGTGCAGAAAAACACTGTGGTATGGTGCATTGTGTTGCACTCTACACATTGTTCAGTTCTGTACATCATACCCACCTGTCATTCTTTAGAAATCAAAGCAGCCTGAAACCGTGAAAAAAAAGATGGAAATACAAACATTTTTAAGAGCAGATTTATCACTTTTGGGAAACCTTTTGGTGGTTTTTGTTAGAATTTATGTTTTCATTAGTTGTCTATGGATTTTATTATTAGACTTTTGATCCATTTTTATGTTTTTATCCCTTTTCCTTGGATGTTAATTGCAATTTTTTGTTCATTTTAATTTATCTTGCATACTAGTCTTGCCTATTTTTGGCCAAGTCATCAGATGCAGATGTGTTGCATTGTATTATTTTCCATTTTTTTATTTGGCCTTTCTTTTCTTTAATTCTGTAATCTTATCAGATCTCCATGTTATCTCATTATAGAGAATTATGCTTAAGACTGTGCTACCTTTGTGGTCATAGCCATTTCCAAGTCTATGGGTGGTCATGTGAAGTATGTGTATGCATAAGGGATTGGGTTGGGCAGGAGTTATCCTTTCGTTTCTCATGCTTTATGTTGAACACTTCATCCTACATTCTTTTTTGTTTGAAATGTTCTTTAGAAATAAAGATTTATTTATTTTTAGTTGATGTGCAACCCAGTACAATAACAGAAAAAAACAACAAAAAACAAACATGAATTTATAGTACAATAGTTCATCCAAATCTCAATCTTATAAAAAGGCTTGTCCCATTAAACAGTCCATCCTGACATAGCAAGCCACGTCTGAAACTAGCCAGTTTCATTTCCTCTCTTTGTGTGGGAAGAGGTCTTTTGTGACAGAGCTTTCTTATAGCTTTGAATATAAACAATATAACTGATTGGGGTGAAATTGAGGGGTTTGTCATATGAGGCTGGCAGCAGGAGGGAAAAAAAAAAACAAAAAAACATTCATTGCCACAGGAGGGTTGTGAAAGAACAGTGGCAATTTTTATCAGAGGAAAAGAAACATTTATCTTGTCACATTTTGTAATCTAAAGATCTGAACACAGTCCTGACTAGAACTGTCCCTCCCTTATCTTTTTAATATCCATTTATATTTTTATTCCTTATACCTTTTAAATTTAATCCAACTTTTGGTTTGATAAGACACTGTGCATAACTCTTGTACGATTTTATGGTGTCTTGAAAATATCCTACTTCATCAGCAGTGTGGAAACCCTTTGTAATCTGGGATATCCAGTGGCACCAGAGGCGATGCCTGCAGAGAAGCCAGTTTAACATCACCATGAAATGGAAAGATGACACCAATAAAGAAGAGCCTCCTCAAAATTTTTTACAACTGAAATTAGCTGTGTCCCAAATGGAAACGATAAGACAGAGATTGAGCAATTTGGCCACAATGACGAGAAGGATGTTTGGAGGAGTCACTGCAAGAATTAAACATTTTAAAGACATTGTTCTTGCTGCTAAACATGGCAGGGGGACTATCATCCTGAGGGTCTATTTGCTGCCAGTTGACTGTAGAAACTGGTAGAAGAACGTGCACTACCTCTATTTTAATCAACATTTTGCAATTAAAATGTTGATTTTTATGGCTATTAATTAATTTGAACCATATCACAGTTTTGGATATAGCTCATGAACATTATCCTGCTCGAATGGCTGCAACCTGAAGGCAGACCTCTGAAGGCAGAACTGGGTCATGATCTCAACATGGCTGGAAAAAAAGGCATGTTATTTCTCTACAGCCAAATAAAAGACAGTTTGTAAACATTTGATGGGGTGTATATTTACGTTTGACCCTGTATTTATCATTGTCACACTAGTTTAAGTAAATGAATCCTATAATAAAATAGAACTTGTGCAACCAATTTTTCTTTTAAAACTCTTGAATGCTTCACCATGGGATAATAATGGTTCAAAATGCAGTGGCAGTTAACATGCAACCCCACATTAGCATATAACATCTCTAAATGGTATCACATAGAAGGCACAATTGACATCCACTGCACATTGAAAGTTTTTTTTATTTATTTATTTTTTTTTTATGCAGGATGAAGTGTAGCGCACATAATGATGAGCTGGCAGGCTCGGCTTAGACACTTTTCATGTGGGCAGCTTTATTCCAGGGGTTTCATTCAGTCATTAAAAAGAGAAGAGGCTGCATTTGTATGCTGAATAAGTTATCATCCTGCAGCTGCTGGCACTGATAATGAATTCTTGCATCTTTTACTTCAAACAGCACATTTTTTACTAACAGAGGGGGGGTTGAATTAGTCTTAACGTTTTGATTGAGCTAGATAATCCATAGAGTTCAAGGTATTCTCTTTTGCCTTTATTTCATGAGATGATTTTGGTGTCAGTCCTTCTTGTATATTCAACACTCATGAAAAGCATTTTCTTTGCTATAATGGTACCTGTTTATCTATTTTCCTCTCCAGTGGCAAGGCAGGTGTAGTAAATGTTATAAAATACTCCGAGTACACTGTGTGGAGGTGGTGAACCAATCAGCTAGAGTGACTCATAGTAATGAAAACTGACGCTTAAATCTAGAAGCTTTTTTATTTAACTACACTTTGTCTTTTCTCCTTCAGCAAAATTAGATATGTTTTATAGTATGTTTAGGATTCATAGAGGCTTTTCAAGCTTTTGTCATATCAAAAAAGTACTAAAAGACAGGAGTTCTTTATAGTGTAAATAAGACACAGCATTCATTTGATGTATAGATTGAACTTTCATATGATGGATGTTGGATGTCAGATCCTCTTGTTATCACATCAGGTGCATCCAGAACTGGCCTGCTGCCTAAAAGGCCAGGTGGCCGTAGGTTGGCTTCTGTCACTGCTGCAGCAGCGCGCTCAGTCTAGTCTGTGGCTGCTGCAGTGGCCCTCAGGGTGTACTCATCCTCTAGAAGTACAATAAATATTTAGTGGAAGGGCTTAGTGATCAGTAAATAGATGCAGAACTTCATAAAAGCATTCATGCCCCTAGAGCTTTTTTACATTATCACTCTGCAACCAGAATTTTTATGTATTTTGTTAGGTTATTTTTTTGGTGTCACATAATGAAGTGGAAAAAATTATATATGGTTTGAAAAAAGTTTCACTTGTAACAGAAGTTATGTGCAATTGGGTTTAGCGTCCTTGACAGAAGCACCTTCTCCGTGCTGGCATATATCAAGTCTTCTGCTATATGTTTCTATCAACTTTACATGTCTAGAGACTAAGAAAACTTAGAAAATCCTTTGCAGAATTGCTCAAGTTCACCTTGTCTGCCTTTACTGCATCTGACAGAGGGAATATAATAAGTACAAATGTATCTATTTATTCAATAAAGTTAAAAAAACACTGAACTTGCGGAGAACTAACCCACTAGTGGGAAGTAATTTTAATTCTGAATGTATGTTTTTGCAGGTACGTTAATGCTTACAAGATCCTCCTAATTAGAGGACCTGTTCAAAATCAAAGATGAAGCCAGTTAAAAAAAAAAAAAAACTGCAGCCTTGTGTATCGATTTGTTCATTTTGTATGGGCCAGGGCTAGCTGAATTCAGAAATGCTCAAAGGTGACCAAAGCTGCTTCATTTTTGCAAAGAAATGAATCTCAAAACATTGATGCCATCTTTGGAAAGCACAGGTAGCGCTGTGGCTTACTGTGAGTGGCTTTGAGACCTGAGGACAGATGCTTGTGCCATGTGTTTGCAGAGTCAGTTGAAGTAGCCGCCTTGGATCCACTGATGCAAACACTGCATGTTTCCTACAGTGTTTATTGTGTTGAATATGCAACATGATTGGAGTAGGCAATGTAAGCTGTCATGAGAAGACCAAACCCTCTGGCTGAGCTACACAGGCCCAGGCAGGTTTTTTTTTTTTTTTGGCTGCTGTTTTATATTATCCTGAAGTAAAAGCATCTTGTAATAATCTTTAAATTTTCCACTCTACAGGAATTTTATATTCTATTTTATGTTTATTATAGAACACAGGGAGAGGATCTTGAGTTTTATAATTGGCTATCAGTGAGAGATTTTACAACTTTTCAGCTCATGTTGGGGTCTTAATTATTATGCAGTGTGATAACAGCTCCACTTTTTCTCACAGTGAATCCTTTTGATTATGTCTTGTTAATTAGTAAGATGCCCACTGCCTACTACTTGGATAATTACTGTTTATGGTTGTGTTTTCAATAAAAAAAATAATAAAAAAAACAACAAAAAAATAATAATTTTAGTCAACAGCATCTCATCCCTTCTGACCAGGCTTGTCTTTTGATTTGTAACTCATATCTGATCTTTCCATATGAAGATGCCAGATATGATTATTATTTTTTTTTTCTTACCACTTCACCCTTTCTACTGTCATTATTTTTTGGGTGCTAAATCACTCACCTAAATACTGTTTAAATTGAGCATTGGAATAAATATTGCTCCTTTTCTCACTCTGTTCATTGTCTTATGCATTTTTGTTTTTTTCCTGCCAGCTCCTTTACCAATTTGCCTCTTTCTTTAGTCTTCTTTCATCATCCCCAGCTCACTTATATTCCCCATATGCTCCACCCATTGCTTACAAATTTAAGTTCATGCAGAAGACGTGCTGAATTGGAGAAACACATTCTGTCGATCTTTTGTAAGGAAAATATCTTTTCATGCACAAACATTGAAACAAAGGTTTCCAAAGTTCTGTAACCCTTTAATATTTAAATTGCTCCCCTATATGAAGTTGGTATGACTGTTAAGTTGTTAATGAGCACTAGTAGTAAAATATGTATTCACTGAAAATGTTTCACCATTACAGCCATTAGATGATTCATGTGGATGTTTTTTGTTTCCTATCATTTTCACTTTACTTGAAAAACAGAAAAAAATTTATCACATTTGTATTTAATATACGTTTTTCAGATGATCAAAATAATTTAAAAAGTTGTACTCCCAAGTTTAATGCAATTTGAAATAAATATTTTTAGAACCTCAGCATACTTTGACTAGTACCAATATACCTCATGTATGTTGAAAGTTATTGTACTTAAGGAGTGATATTTTCTTCTATTTTGTTCTAACTGATCTTTTACTATATAGGGTATCTATTTAACAAAATCAATCAAATTTTATTTGAATTGCACATTTCAGCAGCAAGGCATTTCAAAGTGCTTTACATCATAAGAAACATAAAAACACAGTCATGCAACAGAGAATCAATAATCAAAACATTACATTAAATCAAGTGCCATCATTAAATTTGTAATAGATTAAGTTTCAAATACAACTCTAAACAGGTGGGTTTTTAGTCGAGATTTAAAGGAAGTCAGTCTTTCAACTGTTTTACAATTTTCTGGAAGTTTGTTCCAGATTTGTGGTGCATAGAAGCTGAATGCTGTTTCTCCTAGTATGGTTCTGTTTCTGTAGATGCAGAGCAGACCAGAGCCAGAAGACCTGAGGGGTCTGGAAGGTTGATGCAACAACAGATCTTTAATGTATTGTGGTGCTAAGTCGTTCAGTGATTTATAAACTAACAGCAGTATTTAAAGTCTATTCTCTGAGCTACGGGAAGCCAGTGTAGGGACTTTAAAACAGGTGTTATTTTTGAAAATGTTGCATTTCAAATGTATTAAATTATGAATTAATACTGAATTGTTTTTACATAAAATTTCCTGTGACATTATTCTTCAAAAAAAAGTTTTAATACAACTTTAGCAGGATTGCCAGGGAATGTGGCGGATGCAGTAAAACTCACTGTTCATAATTATAACAACTCGGTTTTTCTTAGAACTTGATTTATTATGGTGTAAAATTTAATCTTAATGGTTTTCTCAACATGCCCTCTGTAGGAATGCACACACATTAAAAATGTATAGCCTCTGAAGCACTTTGATGCAGACAGTGACATGTTTATTTCATAGATGAACTAAAAAGAGTTAAATTTTTTCCCCAACTCAATCCAGTAGCAGATAAATCTAAAATGAGCAGGCAGGCTCACATTGGGGTAATTAGTCACAATTTGCAGCTGATGGTTGGAACTGTGGATATTCTCAGAGGGGCTGTAATGTTACCCACACTCTTTTCAACAGCTGAGTAATGTTTCCCCCTTCTTCCTCTTCTTTAAGGAAGAGTCTGAATAATAACTACCCAAAATCTTATGCGTCTTTGATTCAGCATTTAGGATTCCATGTCTCTTTATGTCATAAAATCTGCTTCACTGTACATCTAGATTATTTGAGTAAGAAAATATTTGGTAAAAAATATATATATTTCACAAAAATCCTTTCCTCTATTTTATTATAAATTGTGATAAATATCTGATATGTGATTATTTATTAAAACCATCTCAATGATGCAGTTATGCTCTCGGCAAAAAGTAGGTTCTTATTTTTTTTCCACTGAAGCTGCCTCCCCAAGATCAAATAAATGCAATGTTTTGTTGTTTTACCAATTCAGAATTCTGCTATCAGCATGCGTTGCATTAATATGTAATGTTGACAAGGCTACACATGGAAGTATTGCATAAATAAATCCTTAATCCACACACAGCCTTTCATTTCCTGAAGGAGACAAGCCTTAGTATTGATTTTTCACTGACATATAGAGTTTTGGAAATTCCTTGTCGCTAATGTCAATATAAGGTACTGAATGTCTAATCTGATCAATCATTTGTCCAATCTTTTCTCTTTATCTTTAGATTGTTTAGTTGGAAAAAAAGTTGCTTATGCTAAAATGATATTGTTTCTTCTCTTTCTCTTTAGCTGCAGGAAGCCTACTCTGCTCTGTCCAGTTCTGGATCTCCTCAATTGTACAATGTGCCACCCGCGTATCCTCAGGATCAAAAATTGTCCCAAGGAGCAAGCCGCTCTAGAGAGCTCCCAACCGGTTCATCATCATCATCATCATACGCCACGTCCAAAGGCCCAGAGAGACGCAGGGATAGAGATCGGGACAGAGATCGAGAAAGAGATCGTGATAGAGACAGAGCAAGAGACAGGGATCGGGACAAAGGGAGGGATAAAGACAAAAAGAAGAAGAAGCACAGGAGGAGATCAAGATCGAGGTCAAAGACGAGACACTCCCTTCCTAGTGCCTACAAAAGAGGTCACAGGTAAGGACCCACAAATAAATTGGCACAAGCATTATTTGGATAAATGATATTGTTTTGAAACCATTGTTAACTGTGAGCATAAAAGTGGCAAAGTAATGGAAATATGCCCTCTGAAAGATTAATAAACCAATCTCTAAAAAAACCTTTAACATTGACTGGAATTTGATCAAGTCTCTGTCATCAAACTTGACCTTCAAAACATATTAACCATTAGGCTCAGACAAGGAAACCGTTCAATGGTGCTAAATGTTGGTACTAACAATGCATAGTTTTGTTTTTATTCCTTCAGTTATTGTCTAAATCTACTGAAGCTGTGGAAATCTTACACAGGCCCATATTTAGTTCATGTTTTAAAGAGTAACATTTGTATTTCTCAAGGGAGTGCGTCTCCACAAGCATGTTTTACTGAGAGACCGAAGCCAAAACAGACTTGCAAAATCATTTTTCTTCCTGCATTACATCATAGCCAGCTCCTCTTCATGTTCGTTACCCCCTGAAGCCAAAAGCAAATTGTTAGACTGTAGGTGCTGACACTAAATTGTGCAGCGTATTACAGTGTCACAGTGTAACAGCTGGATAGATGCAGAGACATTTGGTTTATTATGCCATGATAGTAAGTGTGAAGGATGGAATATTTTCACCTCAGTCTGGTTAACTATGTTGATTAATGGAATTATCAATGGTTTTGATGGAGCACTTTTTAATAACCTTTAAATAGCATTGAGGGGCAGTGGATTTTTTTTTTTGAAGATTAATAGTGCATTAATAATATTTGTCACACGCTTCCTTCCAGCTCTTATTCACCACTCACTCTTCTAAGCTGCACAGGTTATCCCACTGTTTTCATTTTAGGAATTTTAGGATAAGGAGATTACCAAAGCATCCATATTAATCTTTTTGTCTATCATTTTTTCAAGATACAATATGCTTTGGTTTACATGCTAAAAATAAATGTTGAGGGTCACATACCACATATCTTCTTGTATGAAAGAACCAAGAGGAAATAAGACATTAGTAGCTAAATTTCTATGTCAAGATTAGCAATTATCAGGCTTGGATTTTGACACACATCAGTATTAAAATACATTCAGAAGGTGCATTTCTATGGATATTTAAATGGTAGAATATAGGGCAACACCGCACTTCAAAGAGAATGGTTGCATTCTGTTTTCATTTTGTAATTCCTTGTGCTCACTTGTAGTATTGATCCTAGACAGTTCTTAAATGAGGCCTGATTGCAACATATTCATTTCTATATTCTCTATTATACAATTACTTACTGCCCAGCTCCCACCCCACCCAATATAATAGCTTTAGACGCTGCACAGAAATGTAAGATTTTTTATTAAAAATTAAATTAAAATGGGAGGAAAAATGACAAAGCAGACAAAAAAAAAAAGAATTTTAATCCCTACATTTAGTTTGGAATGTCTTTCAACATTTTTAATTATTGTTTTCTCCAAACGTAATTCCTTTTAGTTGGCTGACAAAGATCTTACCTGAACAGGATTTGAAGTCATGTCTTAATACAGTAGTTCTCAGTAGGCTGCTCATTTATGTCATGTTCTAGATGTTTGGTTTTGCCTCTAGAGCTTATAGCTGTTAAAATTGGACCGCAATTTCTTTTTTTGCTTCCTTTACCGATTTGTGTTTGCAAAGGATATTTGTACAAATCACACAGCTGTGCATGCTAGCCAGTGGACAAAATGAAACTACCTCCACCCTTTGTGCAACGAAATGGAGGAGGGCAACTAATCTCTTAGATTAGTATTAACGTTTTTTCCCAGCATGTTTTGTATTATGTAACATCTACATGTCAAGAATCTATCTGAACTGACTTTTATTAAGACAATGAAATTATTTTTGTTAAAAATTAATTCTCATTCTTGTAAAAAATTTTAAATACAGCTTAAGCATGTGTTTCGCTTGCTTTTTAAACTGTTTTTGTAACATTATATATATATATATATATATATATATATATATATATATATATATATATATATATATATATATATATATATATATATATATTTTTTTTTTTTTTTTTTTTTTTTTTCTCTCTCTTTACATATTGGCTCTGGCCCATCTTATGTTTTCATTGTCCGTTCTTATTGCCAGATCCCGTTCGCGTTCCCCTGGGAGGAGGGACAGGAGGGCCCCCTCGCCTGAAAAGAGACGTGAGGAGAGAGATCGTTATCATCCCAGCAGCCGGTCCAACTTGCCCAGGGCACATTCAAGATCCAGGTAGCTTGAACTGCAGTTGCTACCATTTTGTCCTGAGAGCAAGAGTCACTGCGTTGGAGATTTCTCAAGTATTTCTCATTTCAGCTGTCAAAGTAGACAAAGTCATTGATGCTGCCATGTCTCCTGTGAATTCTCTTTTTTCCCCCCATTTTAGCTTTTATGTTCATTTTAAAGTATTGTTTTCTTAAACAATGGTGTAAGAGTTATGTTTTTATAAAGTCATGTCTTTGTAGGTGGCTTACCGGTGTTTTGCTCTTCATCTCAAAATTTCCATTATTTGAAATTGCAATAAATACAGTCACGCATTCTGGTACACACTGTTAGGTTAATGTTGTCTTTCTGCTGATATCTTCCAGGTCCCCTTCGGAACAAAAAAGAAACTTGTTATCTTTGTCAGGGCAGGTGCAAACAGCAGGATTCGTTGTCTCTCCATATTCTTCACCCAGAGTTTTGTCAGAGTCTGTGAGCCCTGCGTCCAGCTTCAGCCACTCAAGGTTATTCTTTCCCAACTTTTAATAATCCACCTGGACTTTTGTAGGATTTGCCCCATATGTGCCACGGCAGTGCCTCACACAATGATTTATATACCTTTAAATTTTTCATATTTTTCCATGCTACAACCCCAAACTTCAATGTATTTTGTTAATATTTAATGTCATAGACCAACACGTAGCAGAAAATATTTTGCTAAGATTTGGCAACAAATCATGAAAGTTTTCTTTGAAGACTTGTTTTAATCCATTTCATTTAAACCTCAACCCACACCACGATCACTAATAAAAGCGACGTTTGGATGTAAGATGAGCCAAAATCATAGAAAACACTGTCTCCAATAAAAGAAAAGAAACCAAAGCAGCAAAAAGGTGCACTGAAAAATATATTTCAAGGTAGTACAGCAATTTGTCCAAACTTCTGTGCCCTTGACTGCCAATCAGCAGATCCGACTAGCCACATGAGGAGGTTCAATTGAAGAGCCGAAGTCAGTGTATTATTGAAGATGTTTTCCATTGCACCATCCAAACAGTTAGGGTTGTAACATGAGAGTAACATCCTTGGACTGGGACTGAACCAAACTGAAAAAAGCTATTTGAAGGAGGAGGCATTGACACAACCTTAAGTATAAAGAATCTAAGAGTTGACTGCTACATTCTGTCGGACCAAGAGTCTGAAAATATCACAGTGGCAGACATAGAAGAGAGAATCTCAAGTATGAACAACTGCACTGCACAAGGCCCTCACATGATTAACACCTACTGAATAACTGATTGTACTCTATAAACTGTTACCAGAACAAACGAACAGTTGTTAATGCATGGGACCGCAGGCCAGAGTAAATCCCAACCTAGTCATTGACTTGCCGCTGCAGAGTTTTTATTGCTTTTTTTATATTTCAATACTGCAAAGGCTCTTTTTATGCTAATACAAACTGTTCATTGATACTAGCAATTGTTTTTAAAAGGTGTTGTTTTCTTCTATGTTGATCTATCAAAACTAAAATAATATTAAGCTTATTTCCGTTATCTCAGCTCAGGATGTTTATTTTAACCAAAAATAATGCTACTTTTATATTTTAGTTATTTTATTTAAAGGATTACTCTGCCATTTAAAAAAATATTTTTTAGTTTCATATGAATTAAAGACAACATTGGACTTCTTACCAGTTTCAAAATTTTTTTATTTTGTCATCAAATTTTTACTTTGTCTTTGCAGACAACTCACCATATGACTGAATAGATGGAACTGACTTTTGTCATTTTGGACCCAATTCAAAAACCCCACAGCGTCAGTGGCTGTGTGTTCTACAGTTTCACCTGCTGTGTTCAATCAGCTTGATGTGCACATCGTTCCCCTATTTTTAAAATACTATGTTAAATTATGAAGTCTTTGGGCTGTAGAGAAAATAAAAAAGCTTTGAACAGAACCACGATGGTAAAGTTAAAGCCTGCAGTTTTGGCACTGTTTGTCTGATTTTACTTTCGGCTGTTTTTAGCCGGGAAGTTTGGCCTCTGGATGGATATTTGTATTTTTACAGGTCAAATGCTGTTGTCTTCTTCTTTCCTGTTCTTTTGCTCTTTTTTTCGTCTAGTACAATGCTTGATGCCTGTCCAAGTTAAGCATTTCAGAAAATATTATGAATATTGCATGTTCGCTTCTGGTAACACAATTGATTTTTTTTTTCTCTCTTTATTTCTCCTCTTTGTTCTATTCAGGGGTTGTTCTCAGGAGAAAGACAAAGCAGTGTCTTCATCCATAGTGTCCTCTGTGCAGACCAAAATAACTCAGGTATTGTTTTTTGCTTTTATCTCAGATGTATCTCTTATGCTGAACTTTACGGCCTACCCAAAAAGTGCACTGAGTAGAGTGCTTTGTTTCCATCATATAAAAACCAAAAAATGCTAAGTGCTGTGCACTTTAACATTCAGTTTTTTTAGCTTTTGTTTTGGGGAAGGCTATATTAGTTTTTTTTTATTGTTGTTACATAAACATGTCCTTCGGAACCTACAGAATAATTCTGGTGTTATCTTTGGGTTCGTCTTACAAAGTGGCTTGGTGTGCTCACTTGCTTATGAGTGATCTCTTCGGAATGTTAGAGTGTTTTGGTTGAAAAAAAAAAATCACGCTTGAGTGAAAAAAGGATACAGGGAGCATTCAAAAAGCATTGCACAGTATTATGCTTTATTACATTTATAGCAATATGTAGAAACAGTTACAGCAGTTTATCTTCTGGTTATAGTGGTGTTTGCCATTCATGAGTGTTTTAACAAAATCCCATCTATTTTCTTTGTGAAGAGTTTGCATTTCGAAACAATCCAGAGATTATCATTCTACTATATGGAAAAGCCAGGGACCAGAGTCTAGTTACTCACATGCCCTTGAGTTTTCAACTATTTCTAGAGGATCATTGTGTTCAGAACAAGGGGCTAAAATACAAGAGTTTTAGTCTATTTTGACGATGGTAGTTTGTTGAACTATTTTATTGAGAACCTATGAGTGTGTAGCCAAGATGCAGTAATTTTCTAGGGTTGTGAAACACCTTTGTTTAATTGGAATTTTTTTTTATTTCCATTTCCACAAATGTGTTTTCCAATTCAAAACATTGTTATATACTCTTACAAACCTGTATCCTAGCTAAAATTTTATGTGCAAAAATCCCAAAAAAGTTTAAATGGAGCCATGTTCATTAAGATAAAAATGTCTAAGTAACAGCTGTGAAACTGCAGAAAATCATTATGTAAATCCTCAGCCAATATTAAATGCTGCATCCCATATTGGACACAAAACTCAGTAAAAAACATTGTTTACATTCTATTTTTTGCCTTTTTGCTTAAAATTACTTTGCTCAAATCTTCTCTGTATTTTCCACACTCATGGCACTATTTTCTCCCAAAGCATTTCCACATGTATCCATTAGGAAATCTTACAGAACACATGTGCTTAACTATTGTGTGTTAATTTATTCCTGTATGCAGTTTGTTGAGAAATTAAAAATATGTTCTATTGTTCCATTATGTTATGTTCTTAGTCTGCATATCGGCCAGGGGTGTCAATATCCAGTCCTCGAGGGCCGGTGTCCTGCAACTTTTAGATGTGCCTCTGCTACACCACACCTGAATAGAATAATTAGGTCATTAGCAAGGCTCTGGAGAACTGAGATACACAAGGAGGAGGTAATTAAACCATTTCATTCCTGTGTTGGCACATCAAAAAACTGCAGGACAGTGGCCCCCGAGGACTGGAGTTTGACACCCCTGCTATAGGCATTTTAGGGGTGCAATCGGTTCTTATGAACATATGACAATACCATCACTGATTAAACCAGATTAACTCTGAGAAACCTCATGGAGGGCAGTGTACCTTGAAGACCAGGGTTAAAAAACACTGCAGTAGACGACGATTAGATTCTCAATAACTTTAAATCGTTTGTTCTCAAAGTAGTGTAAAACCTCCTGTAGAAGACAACTTCATTCTCTGTCTGTCCAAATAAAATAATTTGGAAATGTTTTGTTAAAATGTGAGTGATAAGACCTTGAACTAGACAATTGTTAAAATGTCATTGCAGTTTAAGTGTGCACAATCTTGCAAATGCAAAGCACTGCTTGGACACAAATATTTGGTCAGTGTTTATATTTCTTGTTTGATTCATTTAAACACCGTCAATATGTAGTCGAATGATCCTCCATTGTCTTTTATGTTAATCTGACATAAATTTTAGTAACAAAGTTGCTGAAGCTTAAATGGAATAACATGATCATTGTGGTGATACCTTATCACACATGATATTGTCATCTCAATTTTCAAAATTAATGTTGAAGTGTCTACTTTTCTAATATTGCGCAATCCATCCCTAAAACATTACTTGGGTAAAAAGGTGTGGCTTTGACCCTCAGATCAAAACAAAACATGCTGTTTTAAAGCTATTTGAGTATGAATTCTTTCTAACCTATCACAAGATCTTAAGGTGTTTTCTTGCCAACACTGAAAAGAGTGTTCATTGTGTAGTTTATTGTGAGGATCCGGTGACTTTTATTTAGACTTTTGAAAAATTCTCCCACACACGGTGGTTTCCCCCAAACCGTTTTGGAAATGCCCTTAGGACTGCTCCAAGACTTCACTTTCTTGCCTGTCAGCTACAAACAGATTTTATATGAGAATGCTTATTTGGAAAACTCAAACTATCTTTGAACACTGCTGTTAAAGTGTGTGCTGTTTATACCTCAGAAATAGCAGCAACAAAAAAGGCCTACCCATTTATTTTTCTTCCCTCCCTCAAAGGTGACAGGCTACCTGCTAGTATGCTAATGGAGATTTATCTCTAGACAGACATCACATTCTGAGAGAGGCGAATCCCAGGAGTGAGAAAAAATAGGACATATTTATGTCATGTAACGTTGTATGGTGAGATGGTATAAAACAAATGGATGTTGAGTTTGAATCGCAGTTTTTTCCTTAGCCTGACAAATTTGCCATCACCTTTTGTTTTGGGCCATTCGTACAGCTTAGATTTATTATTTTTTTTTACTTTCAGACAGGTGGTTGATTCCTAAATATGAAAAAATAATAAGAGAAGATGACAGTTTCACATCGAGTAATAGAACTCGATGTCGTGATGAAGCTGAATATTGTTAAATCTACTCATTTGAGTTCAATAGACATGCACTACCAAACACAAGCAACACATACTTGAAAAGGATGACATGCCTACTTGTTATGCCAAAAATCTCCTTTATTCCTCCCTGTTTAGACTTACATTACTTGCATTTTTCAATACACCAGTGAACACGACAGGAAAATACAATAGCTTTTAATATTTTGCTTGTATCTTTTTTGCTTGATGTAATAATAGTGTTTTGTTTTAGTCTTCATTGTAGCATTGACTTATAAACATATGGAGCACTCTTAAAAGCCAGGAAATAAATGTATTCATAAATGTTTTTATTTATTTATTTTTTATTACATCTAAGGCAACGTCTGTCTGACATTCTGATTCTTTGATTCTTATTTTCCCCAGCCTGTCATCAAATGTGGTCTAAATATCAAAACGAAATCTGGAAATTTGTTTTCATGTACATAGTTTCATAGCGTGTCTGTGTGTACATGCTTTTACAAGGATTTATCCATGTCAATCATATGCATAATAATGTATTTGCATTCATAATTTGTGCTTAAGGACCAGGTTTGCAGGTTATTGCTGTAAATATTTACTTAGTCAATGAGTACCACAGATAAAAATATGATGAAGAGATATTTGTCCTTTTAAAACAACAAAGATACTCCAGTGTAGACCAGAATTAGATGCTTTGACACTTGATGTAATGAAGGTCAACAATGTTATTCAGTAAACACTGGTGCTACTTAAACTCTATTCAGCACTCACACTGCTATTCGCCACTGCTCGTGTGGGAGAGAAGGAGCTTCAATCTGTCTCTACAGTTTAGGCAATAAACGCAAAACAAAAAAACAACAACACATTTTTCTTTTTGTTTCCTATTTGTGAAGTTTTGTGAAGGTGCATTGAAGGTTTCGGCTTATTTTCATCTGAGAAATGTCCTCCACTCTCTTTTGTGTTTGTTTGTTTTTTGTTTTGTTTTTTTCAATATTTGTACTAGGTTATTGCTGTACCTTTAGCATACATCTAATACTGTTTAACACATCATCACAAACCCTAACCACTTAGCTTTTAATGTGTTAAATACCAGACCCAGCATATCCTTTTTTTCTACTCTACAGCAGATCAAGTATATCTATATTCTATTTTCACAAGTCTGTTTTAAATGAGATGCAATAAGTCTGAAATAATTTAGTCAAGGTTTATCTAAGTGTAAGTGCTTCAGTTCTTCAACAACACCCCATCTAATGTTATCATGTTGCCAAAAATATAATTGAAATGTAACAAATACAGGTTTCAGAGTTAAACTGTTTTAATTGATTTTTTTTTTTTTTATGATTGAATTTTCTGGTCAAATTTGATTTGATTTATTTTTTCCAGTTTCAAGCAGCTGAAAGAAAAAGACCCAGACCAGATCTCTTTAAAATATTGAACATTTACTGAAGCTGGGAGTCACATTCACTTTAAAGACTTTTCAAAAGACCCAGAGCCCATAGAGATTATTCTTTGTGTTTCCCATATCCCCAATAGATCATATTGTGGATTTTAAATAATTCAGATTAGTTTTGACTTATAAAACAAATTTAGATTTTTGATTGTGGGAGTGATGCTACAAATCTTAAGCCAGCCTTATATTTGTTTTCTAGCCGTACTGTACTGCAACATTTGTTGTAAAGTATCTCCCTGAAGTTAACTCATATATGCAGTTATCTCTAGAAATTCAGTCTTACTAAAAATCAGAAAATTATTTGTGACACATCTACTTAAAGGTGTGAATGTACAAAATGTACTCTGAGTTTGTATACTTAGTGTACTCAAGCCAAGTTGTCTTGAATAACCAATTGTCCTCCTTATATTATAACAAACACCAATGATTAATTAGATATGGCTTCACTCAACCTAGTTGTGATTCTTTCATTAATATTACAGATCTTACCGAAACATGTCATATTCTTATTGTAAACACCCTGTTTATTGCTTGCAGTGCATTTCTTTGTTGTGAGTTTGACTCTGTAATGTCCAGCAACACATTCCTCCTACTTCAAGTTTATCTCTGCTTTATCGTGTTGAGCCTCTCTGTCCGGAACAGAAAGATGCTTTGATCAGCTCGAAATGTTGGAGGCACAAGTTCAACTGTAAAGACAACCTTTGTTGAGGGACAATCAAAAACTGGTTATTAGTGACTCTTGATGGTCGCAAGTCCTTCCCAGTGCAAATTGCTTATGTTTTCATTTTTGGAAAGACCATACATTTTTTAGAGAGACAGAGGTCCAATTTCAAGGCGTTAAGTTACAAAGTGATTTTTATTTTATTTTTTTTCATCATGTTTGATGTTTACAAAATTTTTAGAACAATTGAATGAAATCCAGTTACTTGATTGTGCTATAAAGTAGCACTATGTGTCTGGTATAAAAATAGCACGTCATTTAAAAAACAGGCATTAGTCCTTTGTTGGTTTTATTATTTTCACAAGATTAGGAAGTGTAGGAAACTTAGGTCAACATGTCAGACATTCATAAAAGTCTTTTCTTTAATTAAAGCATAAAGGCTATTACATGTGAGATTATTTTATTTTCAAATCACATCAGGTAATCAATTATTTTTGCTTTATCATTTTCCCAAGACATTAACTGTTCAGAAGAGCTGAGTTATTATTAGTTCTTTGCTCAGTTTGGAGGAGATCATGTGTCCTGTGTCTGTGTTTTCTCAGACACGCCAGGGCCTTCAAGAAAAAAATTACCTTTCAAATTATTTGATGTGACAGCTCCTGCCCCCATGTGATTACAGCTGTTAATTTGTCTCGTCTGTCAGGAGAGTTCAGGGGTGGAATTTTGTCCATGCATGTATGAATCACTCATGGGATGCAATGCAAATTAACACTTCTTTTTCTGCAGTGCAAGCATTTGGCTGCCAGTCAGCAGAATTGAAAAAAGTCTACCTGAAACAGAACTGGGGAAGGAAGGCAAAGTCTTGAAACTAAACTTTTCAGCAGATTTCTGCACTGGATTTTTAATTTCTTCCGCTTAAAGCTACAGCTTTGCCTGCAAATTTACATTTAATTTTTCATTTCAACACACCAGTTACTTGAAAAGTCAAAGTCTTTGTTTTAGTAATTCTAGCAGAGGTGTATCAATATGTTCATAAGAACTTAGTCGGTGTTTTGACCTTGCTTTGTAGATTCAAGATTGACTCCACTGTGCAGCAACAAAAAGACTAACATGGTTCTTTTTATAACGTCCTTTTAGCCGAGCCAATGGCATTTGGGCAGAACCCCCTGCTTTGCTCTTTTCTGAGAAACACCTTCCTCGCAATTTAACGGCTGTGTTTATTCATGCAAGTTTCCAGCAAAGTCGAAACAAAAACAAATCTGTGCGCTTAAGGCACTGCAAGCAGCTTAGTTGATTCCCTATGGGAGTGGCGTTACTACCAGCCCTTTTCACGCCTCAGGGAGTCATTTGATTAATTATACACAGAATAATTATTCATTGAGGAGCTGTAATGCAGTGCAAAGACAACAGAAAAGCGTTACAACATCAGCGTAATCCCTGTTGTCAGTTATTTCAAGTGATGGTAATTAGTTTACATATCAGTCTAGAGTGTTGCTCTGGTTCAGGCTCTGATTGCAGATCAATTGGGCTTGTAGATAAAATTAGAGAGCATCCACTATAGCAAATCTAAAGCACACAGGGAATGTTAGTGCACAGTAGATATGGGTTGGTAATAGACTCCCATAGTTACCTTAAACCAAAATAAAGCTAAAATTGTTTTCTTTAATCAAACTTTTTCAATTCTCCCTACTGTTCCCTGTCAATTTCCTAAACAAACAAAAAAAAAAAAAAAAAAAAAAACTTTTTTATTGTTGTTTGTCTTTTCCCATTTTATCTTTTGAGACATCCTGTTATCAGAAACAAGCTTTGTGGCTGAATGAAATGTGATTTGAATCTTTTATCTGATATGGTTTTAAATAATTTTTGACTTTTCTGTTTTTCTAAATAATATATATTTTTAATTACATCCACAATTGCATACTTGAAACATTCTTTCTGATATGAATCAGTCTGTCTCTCATCCTAGGGAGCATTAAGTTTGATGAAATGAATGGGGGAACGGACCTGGAGGAAAACCGGTGCTGTAACCGGTGCCCCAAGCTATACTTTGCTAAGTGCTATGTTAGCCACTAATTGTTTACAGTCTTGTTATTCAGCAAATAAATGACAAAGGACAGTATTCATTCTCAGCTCATTTCTATTTGATTTTTATTCATAATTAGCAGATTTTAGGAGGATGCCAGCACTGTGGCCCCTCCTCTGGGAGACCCAATGCTGTTTGTTTACATAGGTCAGTTAGCGTAAATGAATCAGTTATAATAGTAATGAAGTCCCCACAGGCAAAGCTTGTACAGAAATTGGTTGTTATGATCCTTACCTAAAAAGTGACCATGCTAACACATAACCAAATTTGAACAAATAACTCCACACTCCAAGCTCTGTGGCGCAGAGCTTGGAGTGGTTTCTACAGCACATGTCAGGGGTTCTTCCAATGTTATGCCATGTACATATACCTACTCACTACCTCATGTATTCTGATATTATCTTCTTTGATCCCTGTCTTCAGTATTTTGAATTACTGCAGCTAAAAAACACTGGGGTGTTTTTAGCTGTCTCTGATATCTTCACAACTTAACAGGAAGCCATACACTGCTCTGTTTACCTCTGGGCGATGTTCTCCTCAGTACACTGCCTCGTCTCTGACCTAAGGCCATTCAGCTATTACTCTGTCGGGGGTTGTATTTTTGGTTTGTTTTTATTTTATTACCGCATTTTCCTTACCTCAAGTCGCTCCGGGATATACATCACGTCAGTCAAAAAAAGAGGAAAATGAAGAGGAAAGAAACATACACATTTCACTGGAAGTTACATGACTTAGAAATTGTCAAATGTAATGGGGACCTTGTTGATGATATGACCTGGTGAGAAGTTGTGTTCAGTTACCTGCTTTTCAACAAACTCATGGACATTGTCATCCATGGCTTGGAAGTCTGCTGCCAAAAATGTCTGATACACCAATATTTGTGCTCTAAATCAGGGAGGTCAAAAATGAGTCCACTCTGCCAGCAAAGTGTGCAGCAGGATACAGCGTTGATGCATACATTGTCAATTTAGGGCCATGCCTCGAATGAAACAATAACACCAAGAATTCACACCTTGAAGGTCATTTTTTTTATCTCCTTGGAAGCTACCAGGATGAGGAGGCGTAACTTCTGCCTACCTTAGTAGCACGATCTTTAAGCATCCGACTGTGAACTCTTTCCTCCAGCTCTGGCCATCTTCCTTTCTAGTCACACCATACCAAAGACTTGCGACTTAATAATTAGGACTATATGGCAATAGAGTAAAAAGTGCCAAAAATCTGTTTCTCTGGCCAGCAGGAATAAGCAGGAATACATAAAACGTTAAAAAGTGGTGTATAGTGGTGAGATAAGTTATTAAACAGCTATATCATCTCTATCTTGCCATCTGTAGTTTTAAAGCAGCATCACCATTAGAACAGTGACTTTTTTTCTTCTGACTAGCAGTGTGTATCAAAAGGTGAGGAAGGAGTTACATTGCAGTCATATATGCTTCACTTAACAGGAGAAAACTTTTATTATTGTAAACTGTGGAAATGGTATAAAATAATTTAGCAGCTTTGAATGTCTTCTGGAATCATACATTAATATGGCTGATTTTAAAAATGCACCTTTTTGCTTTTGTCTTTCAGGATCTGATGGCCAAAGTGCGAGCCATGCTTGCTACATCCAAGACCTTCCAGCCTCCCACTTCCTGAAGAGGGCAGATCTATTCTGTACCCACTGCAGCCTCCGTCAGTCAGAGAGCTCCATTCTCCAATTTCCTGGAGATTCATCTTGCTCTCATCTGTGTTTATCAGCGACGTCTTTATCTATGATTTATTATTTCAGTTATGTTTGATCTGCAGACTCTGTTTAGCTACAGAATGTCCTTTGCAGTGTCGTAAGAATGAAGCAAGCTGGAGCCGTAAGTGTCTAGTTTCACACCTGACTGGAGGCGGCGGCTCATTTGCTGGGAGATTAAGACACAGTTGATATGTTTTGGTGCAGCGAGAATCAATTGTGGAAGTAATCCATGTGTTATGCATTCTGTTTTTTGATAAACCCGTAAAATGATGTCAGTCATTTCTGCAGCGTTATGTGGAGCTGTGGCAAGTGCAATTATCTCCTTCTATGAAGGTTTGTGTTTGATAATTTCATTTCTCTCACATATCTGCTTTTCAATGCTGCTGTTTCTTTCTCTCACACACTTTCTCTCTCTTTCTCTTTGTTTCTCTCTGTTTCCCTCTCGTCTCATTATTCCACTCTAACCGGAGAAGTGGTTTTAATTTTTTATTCATTCCCTCAGCTGTACGGTGTGGCCTTCTATTTCTGTTCCTGGTTTGTACTGTAATGAGTTTGACGCAGGGCAACTTTGTAAACTGAACAGTCAATAAAGTCTCAGTTGTGAATCATGTCTGGTGTTTAATCTGTTTTTTTTTTTTCTTTTTTAGGAAACATGCCAAGGGCCAAACCTTATGCAAGAGATAATGTTTTTTTTAATAAACTATAAATAAGTTTTTAAGTATCTTGAGACTTTAATTTTAAGTTTCTGACTTTAACTCTAAATCTATTGATTCTAGATGTTCTAAACCAGACTATCTGTAAAGATTTGAGTGGTTGCAACATATTTAAGATTGTAAACTGCTTTGTGGAAGATATTAGAGATGCAATTGAAAACTGCAAAAAATGGTAGGTTGTGCAATTATCTGTGACTAATTCCACCATTTAGTTTTGTGATCTGCTACATCTCCCTGTTAGGTACTCTGTTATGAGCTGCTAGCCACAATTAGGATAATCACATGAGAAATATTTCAGTGCTTTGCCTGGGATCAGTAAATGAAACAATGTTCGTCCGTTAACTTTTATGTTTGGGTACTGATCTGTAGTTTTTTAGGGGGGGGTTTGCAAACCAAGTCATTCATGCGTTAACAGGTCAGGTCCAGTTGATTGTGGCTGGCATTCACAATCTTACCTTTTCTAGTGGAATGCATTCACAAGAAGTACCCTATTTCTATTTTTGCACTTCAATAAAAATGAACAGTGATGTAGTAAACAAGGTTGGCAAGTCTACAAATTTAATCTGTTTTTACTTTTTTCCACAACAAAATCTTTCAGATTAGCAAACAAACCCTAATATTGGATTAAAATCTCTGAATCAATACAAAGCACTCTTCGTTTCTGAGGTGAGATCAGCTGTGTTTTTGAGCTTTGCTCTCTCTGTCTGCTTCTTATTGTTAAAGCTTGAACACTGACCTTAACTGAGGTAATTGTGACCACCCAGTCACATTGTTGATGTGCTCTTGGAGTAATTTTGGTTGATTGGCCTGTCCTGTGAAGGTCCACCACTGCTTCATGTCTTCTCCATGTGTGGATAATGGCTCTCACTTTTGTTCGCTGGTGTCTCAAAGTCTTAGAAATGATTTTGTAACCCTTTCTAGACTGATGGATGCCATTGACTTTTTTTCAGTTTTCAGACTTTTTAGACGTTTCCTATTTGCTTTTTATTTAACCTTTATTTTACCGGGATAAAATAAAAAAAAATCCTCTTATTGACATCTTTCAGCTGCGCCAGAGGTGTTTGTTTATGAAACTGAGCTAAGATTTCTAAAATATGTCATTTAACACAGTGCATTTGTGATTTTATAAAGGAGGCCAATTGCTTTTAGGACTTTTTTTTCGCTAATGAATGAGATTATTATTTGGAAAATGCTTTGAGTTTACTCAAGTGATCTTTGACAAGAACAACTAAAGCATAAAGGTCAGTGGACACATCATATTCAGAGACCATGAAGCTATTCTCTTGTAGCTCTTCCTGTATGATTTGACTGAAACCCCAATGTCAATTCCTTTGAAGCTTCTCTCTTTTTCTATCTTTTTTCTTTACTGTTTTGCAGGTCTGTTCTGTTTTCAGCGTCATCCATCTTTACATTAACTCTCGACAATTTTCCTAACCCAGCTACTTCTTTATTTTGGGGCAAGTATTATTTTGATTTATGTTTGTATGCGGTATTAATTTTATTCCACACTGCGTTTTGCATGTGAGCAAAAAGTTTAAATATGTAAGTGTGATTGCTTTTACCTGCACATGACAAAAAGTTAATTACCCTTGTGGCTTTTCTTTAATAACAGCCTCTGAAAATTATCCTGTGACTCCGAGTACAGTAAATCTGAAGTACAGTGATGTTGGGTAATTCTTCCTTAATTGTCTTAGACAACGTGTCAGCTCATGAGGGAAAAATTAGTCAGACTGATGATCAATTTCAAGGTTGTGTGATCAAAAACAATTATGTTGACAAGTGACTTGAGATAAAAAATAAAAATTATTTGTGTATAAACCAGTTCTCACCTGTTTTATACCTGTGAAAATATCTATTTTGTAACTATTATAAGTATTTAGATGATGCTGTGCTATCTATTAGCATTATTGACTTGATTATAATGAGTATTTATTGTAGAAATGCTCAAATCCCACATGTAATTGAACTTAATAATTCTTATCTTAAAACATCGTATTGTTCTCTATAACTATTTATTTTGGATCTAAACTCTGTTTTAGATTCTTCTGAATATGACATTCATGATGCCAGATCAAAACAAACTAACTCAGGGAATCAAAAATTGAAACTGAAACAACTGAAACTGCAAAGGCCTGAAAGGATAAAATGAGCAGCACCTGTCCTGGAAGGTTTCAGATCACTGCAATGGTGAAGCAACCTGGAAAAAGTCATTGCATCATACATAGTATAGAAGTGTTCTTACACTTGCAAAACTTTTCATGCCCCTTGAATCTTCTCACAGTACAGCACGAACTGCATTGTAATACATTAGAAAGTAGAACATTGTCATCATTTGTGAAGTGAAAGAAAAGATTTCTGTGGTTTCAAATATTTTTTTCCAAAAGTAATTAGAATAGTTTTCATCTTGCATACTTCAAGTCACCAATATAGTTAATAGAATTCGTTGGTGTCTAATTTTAATTTCAGTGTGAATACAGCAGAGCGGGGGTTCCCGACCTCTTCACTACACTTTGTACAATCTTGTAAATTGTTCAGACTTTGCTTTCTACTGTCAGTTAAATTTCTCGTTTTGATGTCTATGATTGGTCATTGAAGACTAGAACTTTTTTCCTCATAATGATCTTAAATCATCTGCTAATGTTTGATCTCTTTCAGTCTGACTGTTATTAAAGTCTTCTGTTTATTGTGGACTTCATATGCAGTTTTTGAAAAACAATTAATTGCTTCCCAAGCTTACAATCTGACGGGCCTGTTGACCTTAATACAGCCTAGCCACACGACTGGCACCGTTTCCCTGAATTTAGGCTGACTTCAGCGCTTTGTTGTCCAAAGGGTGCCTGACAGAGTGTAAAATTGGGCTGGATTTGTTTCTGCTTTATTGGCCTTCGTTATCAACTCTGTTAATACTGCTTTGTCTTGTCTTTCCATGTAGTTCCTAATAGAAACCTAACAAACGTAAGAGCTCTGTTTTTAAATTAGTTTACTTAATTAAACACTGACTTTAGGCTTTGCAGGCAAACTTCAGACTATGGAAAGTTTGTCTCAAGAAAGTGCATTAAATAGTTTAAAACTTTATACACACACATATTTATACATCTTTCCCACATGTGGGAGCAGACAATCCCAGTGGGTTACTCCAAAAGGTTGTCTGCCAGTCCCCCACAGTCCGATTCCTACTGAACACACATTCATCACACAGAGTTAAGAGTTGGCAAAAACCTTCTGCAGCTGGCATGGATCAGAGTTGTCTTGGAGGTTTGAGTGGTAAAGAGGGACCAGAAGCAGAGACAGGACAGACTTCCTGTGTGACTGATCACCACATCAGGCTGGGTCCTCCCCTAGCGGGACATTTTGAGTGCTATCTGACAGATAATCACCCTTCTTGAGGTGCTTGTCACTCAGCAAAGAAGGTATGAAAGAAAACATGCCTCTCTCCACCACTATCTGGGAAAGAGTGACCTTTCTGCAGCAGATGACAGCATCATTAAATTGTGGATGGGCTGGTTGGGAAACTTGAAAGGGAGCGAACACTCCTTATCTGTGATCCAAAATGGGCCAGAATTAGTCTCACCAGCAGCTTAATAAGACGTGAGATCAGAGTGACCAAGTTTGAAGTTGTTGAGGCTGTTTCCATAATGTCAAGTACATGTGGATTCAACTAAATATGAAGCGGGGAGGAGAAATGAAATGAAATCCCTTTTGTGTTACATTTTTCTGACAATGTTTCATTTTCCAATTATTCATTACTTTTGTTGGCGTATTTCAAAAACTATTTGCAGGTCTGGGGCATTAAAGTTTGAACTTATAAGGTGAACAAATATTTTCAGCAAGACACTGAATCAAAAAAAAAAAAACATTCAAAAACATTTTATACCCAGTTTCCTTTGCAGCTACTTCACATATAAGTCTAATTGACCATGTCTCTGCTGTCTCTACTGCTTAGCTTTAGCCTCCCGGTATAGTTTTACAAACTCCAGCTTGTCTCGACTCTCTTGGTTTTAATCACACAAGAGATTGCAGACAACTGTTCTGTTGTCTGCAATTTCACAATGATTTTGAAGACAATTGAGCAGCTGCTTGGAAAGAAGGTGAAAGGCGTTAGATACACATTGAACTCTGTATAGTCAGCTAAATCTAAAATGAAGACTTCACTGACTGTTGTGCACCAATCCCTTTTTTTTTTTTTTCTGGGACACAATGGATTAGGGGAATAAGATCCTGGGTTAGAACCTCAGTCTGTGTGAAGTTCAGCTTCTGCCCAAGATCCAGAAGCTGAACTTCTTGATCAGCTTCTGGATTTCACATGTTTAAAATCTAAAGAAGCGGTTACATGTTTTACAGTCATCTGAAGTCTTCTCGGTGGTTTCCACCAAGGGATTGATTGGATGGATTTCCAATCCATCCCTCCGATGGATTGGCAATCTATCCAGTGTGTGTTCTTCCCGTAGGACCAGCAACACTCTGAGGGGAAAAAGTAGATGTCTGAAACTATTTCATCTCAAAAATACATTCAAGACAGAAAACGTGTGCTGTTGCTGTTGATACACTGATAAACAGTGATTCATGGCAATCACTGTGCACACTACAGTTGTTTTAAACAGCTACACTTACACTGTCTGTGTGGAAGATTGCAGGGGGCAGAAGGAGCAATTTGTGCTTCTCACCAGGAAATAAAAAGCTTTAACAACTGAGGGCTCGGAGTCAAGTTCAGAGGACAGACAACATACAGTAGTGAGATTCTTTCTTGGTGAAGGAAAAAAAAAGAAAAATAATAGAACTTTCGAAATCCAGAGGTTCTGCATAAAATTTCAGAGCTCTAAAGGGTTTTTATAATAGCAAAAAATTGATGTAATGAAAAGAAGGAACATTGTTGAAAATCAGCCAGTCTCTGTCAA